CTCTTACCCGCTGTGTGCAAGTAAGCGGCTCCCTGCTCTGTAAGCCCGAGCCGGGTGAGAATCAATGCACTCAGGCCTCCGCTGTGCCCTCCCTAGGTCTGAAGGGAGGCAGGGGGTGGTCTGGGAGGAGAGGGAGCCCCTCCCCCTCCCTCAGACTGTGGTCCCCTCATTGCTGCCCTGGTTTTGGGGGAGGATATAGAAACCCCAAGAGAGGCCAGAAGCTGAAGTCACGGCCTGTCACTTGGCCACTTTTCTGCAGCCTCGTTTGTCACATTACAAGGTTTATGGTGAAAAAAAAAAAAAAAAAAAAAAAAAAAAAAGACAGAAGACTCTGGTTTGACTTAATAGCGTCAGCCAGTGTACCTGGGACCGGGGGGTCCCTTGCCCGTCTCCTGTGCAAGGCAGCGTCTGAGCCCCCACTTACCGTAACAGAGCCCTCTCACCCCAAGCGACAAAGACGGGCCCGGGTCAGACCCTGCAGAGCAGGTCATGGTCCAGCCGGACTGACAGGGTTCAAACCACAGCACACTCCCTTGGGTGAGTCACCGAGCCTGTCTGAGAGCATCTATCGGCTTCTCTACAAAATGGGAAAATGACTCAGGCCCACAACCCAAGACACTCTGAAACCGAGGACCCTGGCATCACAATTCCTGTGTCAGCAAGAGCAGCAGGTGGGGCATGATGGCTCATACCTGTAATCCCAGCACCCTGGGAGGCTGAGGCGGGAGGATTGCTTGAGCCCCGGAGTTGGAAACCAGCCTGGGCAACCTAGCAAAACCCCATCTCTACAAAAAGTAGAAAAAGTGTCAGGGTATGTTGGCACATGCCTGTAGTCACAGCTACTTGGGAGGCTGAGGTGGGAGGCTTGCTGAAGCTTGGGAGGTTGAGGCTGCAGTGAACAGTGATCTCACCACCGCCCTCCAGCCTGGGCAACAGAGCAAGACACTTTCTCGTTAATAAAGAAAGGCCAGTGCCACAGAGGTTCACATATTATTTATGGCCTCTGCTCCACTTAGTGGGACTCTTCGTACCTTTCACTAGAGTCAGGGGTGGGTGGTGCTGCCCCAGATGCCACGCGGGATGAAACATGGGCCAGGGAGTCTCTCCCTAGAACCTGCAACACCCTCCATTCCATGTCACGTCTGGCCCTAGGATTTCGGACAAGGAATTGTGGTTGTGTTGCGCCTGCACTGCAGGGTTGCGGTGGGAATTCAGTGAACTGATGCCCGAGGGGTTTAGCACCTGCCTGGCATGTTATATGACCAGTGTAGAAGACAGGGCATTCCACAGGATGACTAGCTGGGACTCTTCAGCAAGTCATATCATGGAGGAAAAAAGGTGTGAACATGTGTGTGTGTGTGTGTGTGTGTGTGTGTGTGTGTGCAGGGCTGCTGTGCTAGATTAAAAGAGAAGCCAGTGCTGTACCAGCCAGATGTGTGGCATTAGACAGGGTGCTGGACACCTGGGGCTAATTGGAGGAAATGTGACTAAGGCCTGAGCATTAGAGATGAAAACATATGACACAGGTGACTGGAAACCAAAAAAGCAGGTAACAAAATAGCATGTACAGAATGATCTCACTTGATCAAATAGCATGTACACACACAGACACACAGACACACACACACACACAGACACACACACGCACACAGGGAAAGGTGGCAGCTGTTAATGGGGTAATCTCTGCATGGTAAAAACAGTGCTGACGTCATTTTTTGCTCATCTGTATTTTCTTTCTATAGTGTATATATACTGCTTTTGTAATCGTAAAAATATTATAATTTGAAAACTAAAGAGATCAGACTCTGCAGCCAGAATGCCTGGCCTCAAACCCAGCTCTCTGCGCTTTCCTAGAAGACAGCAGGTGCTAAGAGATAACCAAGGAATTTATCCAAAATTAGCTGGAAACCAGCAAGGGCTGGGGAAGGAAGCGGCTGCGAGGCGCGGGCCCCTCAGCCCGGCGTCCTCTGAAGAGCGCTGGCGGAGGTCGTGAGGGCGAAGACGGTCCTGGAGGGACAGCAGCTGACGGACCAAGACAAGCAATGGGCAGGGCCGGCCCCCACCGCACCTGCTGACCTGGAGCCCGCCACCAACATGACAGGCCGCTAGCCACCACAGAAACGTTCTTGGTGAGGAAAGGCTCCTCACCAGGCCGGGTGTAGTGGATCACACCTGTAATCCCAGCACTTTAGGAAGCCGAGGTGGGTCGATGGACTGAGGGCAGGAGTTGGAGACCAGCTTGGCCAACGTGGCAGAAACCCCGTCTCCACGAAAAATACAAAAATTAGTCAAGCATGGTGGCGGGTGCCTGTAATCCCAGTTACTCAGGAGGCTGAAGTGGGAGAATCGCTTGAACCCGGGAGGTGGAGGTTGCGCCTAGCCAAGATCATGTCACCGCACTCCAGCCTGGGTGACAGAGCAAGACTGTCTCAAAAACAACAACAAAAACAAAGGACTCCTCACTGACAGAAACGACATCAGTGCAACCACAGCAGCTACTGTCTGGGAGGACTCTATTTCCTGCCTGCCTCCCAATGCAAGACCCTTGCCAGAACCAGGGAAATTCTCTGAGAACTTTAGGCTGCAGAGGCTGGGAGCAGCTCCAGCGAACGACTCGAAAGGCATTGCTGTTCCCCTGGCAAAGAGGGCACCGGTGCTATGTGACTGCCTCTCTGGAGGAAGCAGGGGGTGGGAAAGCCGGTGGGCATTAGGTAACGCTTCTCCAACATCGACCCGAGGGATCTCAACCTCGGGGCTTTGGACCCCCTGGACAGGGCGCCTTGAGCCAGCTCTGCGCACTACTCTGAGGTTTGGGGGCTCTGGGGGACACCCTTGTTTTTCAGCATAAGACAGTTCTAACCATGAATATTTACTGAGCACTTACCATGCGCCAGCCATTGTGTCAAGGACCTTCTGTGGATTTTCTCGTTCGATCCCCATGAAACCTCCATGAGGTGGGGACTATGAGTCCCACTTTCCCGATGAGGTGGCCTCCAGAGGTAAGCTGTCTTGCCCAAGGTCACATGGCCAGGGGGTGGGCAGGGCTGAAGTGCTCAGCCACCACAGTGGCGTGCAGAGATGACTGTGGGGTCATCTGGTTCTGTGTCTTCAGCCCTAGCTGCATTTTATTATTTTTTGAAAATATCATCTTTTAGAGACGAGGTCTCACTCTGTCACCCAGGCTGGAGTGCAGTGGCACCATCATAGCTCACTGCAGCCTCCAGCTCCTGGGCTCAGGGGATCCTCCTACCTCAGCGTCCTGCGTAGCTGGGACTACAGGTACGCACCACAATGCCCTGCTAGGTCACACTTTAGAATCACCTGGGAGCTTTTAAAAAAGATACCGCTGAGACAGATTAACGCAGAATGTCTGAGTTAAAGTGGGGCCAGGAATTCGTGGGTCTTTTAGAAGCTCCCCAGGTGGCTCCGAGGTGCAGCCAAGAGGACCACTGCAGTAGGCAATAAGAACGAGTGACAGCCGCACGCGCCAACTGTCTACAGGGCAGCCAGGAGCGTGACACCAGGCCCATAGGGTGGCCACAGTGGCGGCGGGGTTGAATGACTGGTCTGACCAAGGCGCACAGGTAGCTGTTTCACTGGAGCAAGAGCACTGAGTTGGCCCCCGCCCCAGGAGTGACATCCTGTCCCCAGAGAATGAGAGAGGGTCTCAGCCTCTGTTCCCCGCACCCATTCCACAGCTGCCGCGGGCATCTATGGAAGCCTGGGGAGGCTCCCAGGTCCACCTCCCACAGGCTGGAGCCTGGCTGTCAGCGGGCACCATCACTGAGGGCACAGCAGCCTCTGGCCTGGCTGCTCATTCAAAACATGCGGGAACAGGACCCACCCCAGGGAAGTACATCCGAATCCAGAAAAACCAGCCTGAGCACAAAAGGCTGAAAAATCGTGGTGAGGCTGCACGCAGAGCCGCGCCCAGCAGACACATGCTGGGGCTGGGAGCAGGCTTTGGGGTCAGTTTGAACTGGCTTCAGACGCTGAAGAGCTGTGTGGCCTTGGAGAAGTGGCTCGATCTCTCTGAGCTTTGGTTTCCTGGTCTGTAAAACGGGGAGACTAGCAGTGACGGTGAGATGGGCAGAGATGAGAAGGGGTGAGGCGTGGGTACGCCTAGCCCACGGCGCGCGCTCAGTATTAACACTGCTGCTTTAAGCGTTGCGTTTTGAAGGGAAGGGGCAGGGAACAGCCATCAGTGATGCTGGGGCCATTTCTTCAAGTTAAGCTGGGGCAGGCGCCCTCCCTTCACCCTCACGTTCCCAGCAGTGACCCCAGGCACGGCCCAAGCCTGGCGTCGGGGTGGAGCTCCGCCCCTGCTCCTCACTCTCCCCGGGAAGACAACAGCAGGGAAGGGCGCCAGCTGCCCCCTGGTGGCCAAGGGCAGACGCGCACCGAGTCGCTTTAACCACCTCCTGAAATCCCTGCGGCGACCCCCACCTTTCCACCCGGCCTCTTTGCAGATCCGTGGCTCCCAAAGAGTCTGGCTGACAGGGCGCCAACTACAAGGGTTTCCTGATGGATGCTAGCATTTTGGAAAGCACCAAGCTGACTGCAATATAAAGTTCAAATAGGGCCGGTGGTGGTTGGGGGAGGGGAGTGCCAGGCACCCGGGCTATGCACACGTGAGTCTGTTTTCTCTACCTGGCCAGTTAATTTCAGTAAGGAAGGAGTGCCCAGGAGCGAGGCGAGTTCTGCTTTCCTGTCTTACACAGGTCTGTGCACTTGTGGGTGCTTGCGATTCTGGAGCTAGAAGCTCAACTTCTCCCTCTGAGAAGCAGCCTGGTGGTGTGCCGATGGACTGAGAGCCTCATCCTGGCAGACGTGTCCCGATCCCTGTCCAGCAAGGGCCACCTGGGAAAAGCCACCTCATCCCCAAGACACAACAAAGTGACCCCAAACCCTTATTTCCCTCCATTGCTGAAGGGCTCCATGAAGGAAACAGCTGGAGAGGGGACAGGGACAGAGGAGGAAGATGCTGGTGGCCTGGAAGATGCTGGTGGCCAGTCTGCTGTTGACACAAAATCTTTTTATTTTCCCTTTGCCATCTTTTTTGCAAACCTCTCAGGTACAGATTGGAAGAAACTGCACATTGACCCTGCCTTATTTAACCAGGCTGCTGCCTCCTCGACAGCCCCTGGGGGAGCCCCGCCCCGCCCCACTGGGTAGAAGGGAAGGCCACACCAAGTGCTGAATGAGCCAGCCACACAGCAGGTGCTCTGGGAGGGAGGGACCTGGCCCTGAGAGACGGGGCAGTTCCTGCAGGGGGAGAGAGAAGGCACTGGTTTCCTTGCTTTGGGAACCACGCCCCAGCCAAGGAGCGTCGGAGCATCTGACCCAGGCGGCCAGCAAGATTGAAGGTCAAGGCGGGGGCCCGAAGCAGACGGGACTGTGGGAGCCTGGGGAAGCAGCCCCTCTCGTCTCGGGTCTGGAACCTCAGAGGATCCTCCTGGGCCCCTGCGTGGCTGGCTCCAGAGGATAGAGAGCACAGACCCTGCCCCTCTAGGTCCCGCTGCTGGCCTGCGGAGCTCCGCGGGAAAGGCATCGCGAGCGATCGGGGCCTCTCCAGCAGCGTCAGCAGCTGGGTGCCTGCTGGTCAGCACAGGGGCGAGCTGCAGCCCCCAGAATACTCCAGAAAGGGGCCTCTGGGTGGGGCTGCAGTGTTGCGGCTTCTCTCAGAGGCCATCCAGGGCCTGCCGGACTCGGCTGTCCAGAGAGGTGGCTGAGTGGATGGAGACACCTGGGGCACCGATGCTGGTTTCCCAGCAGTCAAAGCCACAGCTGGTCAGGGCCTGCTTCGTGGCCTCCACCTCTGGCTGCTCCAGCCCTGTGGGGAGGGAAGGCAGGTCACCCTTGACAACTCTGCTCCCTCGGCTCATCGTATTCAAGGCAAATGCCCGGGTCTTCCTGCTGTGCCTTCCTGGCTGTGACCCCTACCTGAGCCAATAGGCCCATGAGGCCCAGAGGCTACCTGCAGCCCCTCCATGCACTGAAATGCCCAGCCTTGCACCCCGCAGAGGTTTGGGGAGCAAGACTTAAAAACATGGGCTGTAAAGGCACAAGGACTTGGCCTTGCCTTGTGCTGGTCGTGTGACCTCAGACAAGTGACATCCCCTCTGTCAGTCTCAGTCTCCTCACCTGGGAATGCAACTAATGATGCCAACCCCTACAGACCCCAGGGAGGCTTAAAGGAAATAATGCAGGTAAAGTGCCTGGCACAACACCTGGTACAGCAGGCACACTCCAGAAATGTCAAGTCCCACCACCATCATGGGCGCTGAACTAGGAACCAACAGTGGGGGTCTGCTGGAGTGAGGATGTGGCCACCTCCTGAGGCCTTTAAGCCACCACTTGGGGGAGGCGATGGCTGGAGGCCAAGGGAGCTCAGTGTAAAGCAGAGGGGAAAGGCAGGATGAAGAACAGAGAGGAGATAAAGACGGGAAGGGAAAGACAAAGAGCAGTAAGGGACAAGGAACACGGAGGGAAACAGAGGCAGGTGGGAACGTTTAGTGCCTACTATAGGCCAGGAGTGAGCCTGAGGACAGCGGTAGGTGTCAGGTGGTTAGACACCAGGGGAAGCCCCTTGCCAGGCCCCCGGGCACCGCGCAGGTGGCGTCCTAAGCCAAGCCCATTACTCGGTCTTGCTCTTTCCCCACACGAACGGGAAGGAAACCCCTTTGTTTTGTAGCAAGATCAACCCCATCCTGACGATGTCAAGGAGGGCAAGTGGGGCAGGGTGAGGCAGACACGGAGAGTGCCAATGCCCTGGTTACTCTCCAGGCTTGTGGGGACAACCCTGATGACCGGAGCCCCGGCCACAGCCCAGCCCTGTACCAGGCTCTCCAGGTACACTTTCTTCCTTGGATCTGGGCAATGATCTTGCAAGCTAGAGACTCTCATCCTTATTTTACCGAGGAGGAAACGAAGACGTAGAGAGGTTAATTAACTTGCTAAGGCCGCACAGCAGAGCTGACATCTATTTCCAGGCCTCTTTTTCCTTTCAAGGCAATTCTCCAAGTGGACCCCTTTTACGAGCCCAGGCTGGCAGCCTGGCCCACCCAGCCCCGGGTATACCTGGCTTGAGGAGTGTGATGCCACAGCCACCGCCACCTGCACCAGTCAGCTTGCTGTGCAGTCCGTGGGCCCTGGTCACCTGGCAGAGCTGGTCCAGAGAGATGTGGCCCACGCCGAGGGCATTCAGATGGTGCTGGTTCATGTCAATGAGCTCCTAGGGGAGAAGGTTCCATCTGTTCCCACTTGGCCTGCCTGAGGCCGAGGTCTCATGCCCACCCCTGTGCCTGCCTCATCCATCTGACAGTTGTTGGCTGGGGACAACTAATGGCTTTGCCTAGCGGGTACGCTGGCCCTCTCCACTTGTGAAACAAGAATCCTCCCCTGCAGCATTTCTCACGGAGCTTGGGTAGAACTGAGCATAACCTTCACCATAGTGGTGAGCACATATTCTGGGACTGGTCACAGAAGCCTCTGGCACTGGTGACTGATCAGGGATGGGCATGTGGGCCATGCTGGGCCAGTCACGGCCCTCCCAGGGTTTTCCTCTGTCCCTTTCCACTACAGCTGCTAAAATCATTAACTTCAGATACAAGCCACCAGGAGATGATCTGTCTTGCCACATGGTCAGATACTACCTGGAAGATGGAAAAGATTCCTGACCACATTATTTCAGCCTCTGGATCAAGCTATACCTGAAGCCATTTACCTCTGGTCTTCTCGGTCAATACTGGCTTCTCAGCCAATATATTCCTTTTCTGCAAAAGCCTGGTTGAAATGGATTTCTGTCATTTTCAAGAGAAAAAGTCTCCATATGCCTCCCTACAGCTGCCTCGGGGTCTGGGTTCAGAGTAAGAACTAGCTGTAACTCCAGCGAGGCCATAAGTGGGGAAACAGCAGTTTATGTAGGTTTCTTCAATTATGCAGGATAAACTGTCTGCTCTGCAAGAATCCAGCAAGATGCATGTGGATGAAAAACTAAAACTCACAGCTTCTGCCGGGCGCAGTGGCTCACGCCTGTAATCCCAGCACTTTGGGAGGCCCAGGCGGGTGGATCACGAGGTCAAGAGATCGAGACCATCCTGGTCAACATGGTGAAACCCTGTCTCTACTAAAAACACAAAAAATTAGCTGGGCATGGTGGCGCGTGCCTGTAATTCCAGCTACTCAGGAGGTTGAGGCAGGAGAATTGCCTGAACCCAGGAGGTGGAGGTTGCGGTGAGCCAAGATCGCGCCATTGCACTCCAGCCTGGGTAACAAGAGCGAAACTCCATCTCAAAAAACAAAACAAAACAAAAACCTCACAGCTTCTACCACCCAGGCACCCAGTATCTAGATTCCATTTACCAAACGCCCACAATGTGCTGGGGCTCTAAGGATGGTTCCAGCCATCAGGAAGTAAAAACCACGGGGTTTGGAGTTAAGGAGGCCTGTGTTCGAGTCTCAGCTCTGCCCCTTCTTGGTCGTGTGTCCTTGGACGAGGTCTTCTGCGCTGGGTCTGTCTCCTGCTTATAAATTGGGGTCATAGGAATATCTGCCTCAGCAGGGTGTGGTGGCTCACGCCTGTAATCCCAGCACTTTGGGAGGCCGAGGTGGGTGGATCACTTGAGGTCAGAAGTTCAAGATCAGCCTGGCCAACATGGCAATACACTATCTCTATTAAACACAAAAATTAGGCAGGTATGCTGGTGCGCACTTGTAATCCCGGCTACTAAGGAGGCTGAGACATGAGAATCATTTGAACCAGGGAGGTGGAGGATGCGATGAGCTGAGATTGCGCCACTGCACTCCAGCCTGGGCAACAGAGCAAGACGACTCTGTCTCAAACAAAAGGAAAAAAAAATAGTGTCTGCTTCCTTGCCCTGAGGATGAAACAAGGTGGGTTTTCTGTCCAATGCCTGGCTATTAGAGGTATGTGCCATTAGTATTTTCACAGGTCTGTTACCCCCATCCCCACTTTACAAAGGGGGTAACAGAGGCTCAGAGAAGAAGTGACTTGCCTAAGATCACTGAGCTAGTAAGGTACCAAGCTGGCACTGGAAGCCGAGTCTGCCTAACATGAAGCTCTGCCCACCCTGCCTCTGAGAGCACCCCTGGCATCCCATACTTCTGTGTGAAGCTCTGCTCCGGGGCACCTGGATTGCCTGGACACCAGGAGTTGCCAATCACAGAGGCATCTCTGCAGAGGCGTGGGGACAGCCGGTCAGGCAGGGTTGGGGTGGCCCTCCCCATGAGCCTGCCTCAAACCACACCCCCTGCCAAGCCCGTCGCTTTTGACAAATGAGCAGACAGGCATGATGGCTCGGTGGCAGCCCCGGGTGCCTTTCGCCGGCCCAACGGGCTGGATGTGAGAGAAGACTTCTGGGGGCCGCCCTCTGCGCCTGAGCGCCAGGTGTCACGCTGCCGAGGCAGGTTCCAGACACCTGTCACATTCTGATCCAAAATCTGTCAAGGATCAGATGACAGGCTGTGACACGGGAGAACAGTTCGCTGGTTTGAGTGCAAAGCTGTCCAGGAGCCGCGCTGCACATTTTCAGCGGCTGCCACAGCCGAACATACACACAATGTATAATCAACGTGCTGTTCGCTGGCGTTCTCCAGGGGCTCGACAGGGTGTATTTTAGGCAGTGTTCTATCATTATTAATTTCCCACTCACGGGGACTGCGTTCCCTCCTTTCTACATGGAAGGAATGGAGAGCCAGGAAGACAAAGACTGAGGGAATGAGGGCAGAAACACAGGAATTCAACGGCAGCTCTGCCCTGGCACATAGTAGGTGCTCATGACAGATCTGTTGAGTAAAGGGACAGACCGGTCCGTTGGCTGGAGCCCTGGCTCAGCCACTCACTAGCTGGATAACCTGGAAGTCCCTCTTCAGGCCTCAGTTTTTACATCTGTAAAACAGGGATAAGACACCTACTTTGCAGGGAGGTGGTTGCAAGGATCAAGTGAAAAACTCATTTGTAAAAGGCTTGGTTTTGTAACAGCTTCCACTCAGCCCAGGGGCTACAGACTCGAATGCCCACAAAGGGACTGGGAGGCACCAGGCAATGACTACAGAGGCAGGGACTGCGGTGATGCAGAGACTACACACCCCTCTCAAGGGGTGTCCCCTCCTGTCCCTTTACTGACGGCTGCTGCAGAGCTGGCTATGGCAGCTAGGGGCCGCCCGATCCTCTACTCTGCAAGGTAGCCAGATGGCTAACGTCAGTCCATATTCACCAGGGCAGACGGACCGTATCCAGGGGGAGGCTGGGCCCTTGGGTTCCCTGAGCTCATGGCACACCAGACATTGTGCTTATGTGTCACCCATGAGACTCCAAGCCGCCTTTTTTTTTTTTTTTTGTGAGACAAGGTCTTACTCTGTCACCCAGGCTACAGATGGACCTCCCGGGCTCGAGTGATCCTCCTGCCTCAGCCTCTCGAGTAGCTGAGACTACTGGCACGCACCACCACGTCTGGCTAACTTTTGTATTTTTTGTAGAGACGTTTCACCACGTTGCCCAGCCTGGTCTCAAACTTCTAGGCTCAAGCGATCCACCTGCCTTGGCCTCCCAAAGTGCTAACACTACAGGTGAGCCACTGCGCCTGTCTAATAAGAGTATTCTTAAGATACTCCAGCGAGGCCACACGGCCAGCAGAAGTGGAGCTGGGATTCACACACGGGCCTGATCATACTCCAAGTACAAGGTCATAACCTCTACACTAGAATTATGCAAATGGTGGTAGATGGGGTTACGATGATGAAAAAAGTTAGGACCCATCTGACCTGAGGCAGGCAGTTGGTAAGTAGGTGTTGAATGCACCCAGGTAGTTGGCAACGGCAGGAGAGAGAGCAAGGAGGAAGTGGCCCCTGCACCAGCAGAGTGCTGTCGGCCATATCCCCGTCCACCTAGGTGGGCCGGCGCTCCCTAGACGACCTCAAACCCCGTCCACTGCACTTAGTATGAGCCAAGCCCTGACCTCCTTCCCTGTACTCTCCCAATTACTCAGAATCACCTGGAAGAGGCCTGAAAATAAGATACACCTGTGTGGCCCACAGAGCCCTGGGCCTAGGCCAGGGGCTTCTGAGAGCACAGGCCAGAGGCAGGACCTGGCCTGTGTGCTGATTCCGGGGGGGTTCTGAGTACTGCCAGATTGCAGAGCCACTGCCTCGTACAGCAGCGGACTGAGCAACCCCGGTTCCTGCGGACAGGCTCTTACTTCCAGCACGACGTATTGCTCCAGGGCTGGGGCCTCCCCCATCTCTCCCAGCACGCGCTCACACTCCAGGGAGATGGCATCTATCGAGGTCAAGAGCGGGGCCACGATCTCTGGGAACTGGAGAAGAAAAGGAGGAACGGCCGGTGAGGCTGGGGGCAGGCAGAGGTGGCGCAGCTGCCCCTGCAGTGGGTGGAGGCGCTCCCAGAGCCCTCATCCATCCTCTGAGGAAACTGCCCCCGCTTCTGGGCCTGGCTTTTGCCTTCCCAGCTGCAAAGTCAGGGTGCCTAACGAGCCAGACCACTGTCGTTTTCAGAATCCCCGTCCTGCCTCCCGGCCAGGCTATGGACATGGGCAACACCTTCTTTTCTGCCAAAACCACCTCCCCAAGGGCCAGCACCACCCACCACACCCCCATAACCCAGCAGCCAGAGGGAGACCTGGAAATTACAAATGTAATTGTGTCCTGGCCTTCCTAAAACCTGCCCAGGAAGGGAACAGGAGTCACCTTGAGCAGCCTGTTTCTGACGCCAGCCACGAGGGCCTTGGTACTGCGAGGGACTTTGGTGTTGGTCAGCAGGATCTGGAGAGCCGGCGGCCTGCAGAGTGAAGAGGAGGCAGGGCACACTGAATTCAAGACACAGGAGCTGGGTCAGGACTGGGAGCAGTGCAGGAAGCCGCCCCACCCTGATTCGGAGGAAGAAGGAAGGCACAGGAGGTGACACTGGATGGGGCTCCCGCCGCTGGCTGCAGCTGCACCTCCAATCCAGCCCCCCAGGTGGGTAGCCGTTCACCCTTGGCTTTTCACTCATTTATTTGTTCAACTGTAACTGGGACCTACAACACGCTAGGCACAGCTGGGTCTTGGGACCGGGTCGAGGGAGGGGAGACGGGAGAAGGTCCGGGAAGGTTTTCCTGGTATGACGTAGACACTGAGAACTGAGGAAGGGTAAGAAGCTACCAGGGTAAGAGCTAGAAGGGTGAGGATTTCTGGCAGGCGGAGTGGCCCGTGTGCTCCTGGAGGTGGTGAAACCTGGCACAGTCATCCAGTGAGAAATTCAAGTAGCTGTGAGCGCAAGGAGGTGCCGGGGTTCACTTATGTGGGTCCCCACCACCAAGCTGGAGTCCAGGCAACAGGCCCTGAAATGGATCACCCAGAGGGAAGATGCCCAGGCTGGCTGGTGTGGGCAGTGCCAGGCACGGAGGTAAATGCAGGGGAGGGCGAGATTACGAAGGACGGTCCCCAGCACGCTGAGCCCATTCTTGCCGTACCTCGATAGTGCCCACACCAGCAGCCCTGGTCTAAAACCAGGTGTTGTTATGGAGAGTCAGTCATCCCCTTGGCTGCCCCCTGGCACACAAACGTGTCCCAGGAGCTACGGTGAGCTTACTCTCCAGCGTGACCTCACTGTCCTCACCTGCCCCCGAGAAGCTGCGTAAATCCCTCCTAAAGCCACAATCCCAATTGTCCTTGTAGTGAGCCGTCTTTGAGGGCTCAAGCCAACATTTCTCGCCACCCACCCTGCCTTTCAGAGGGCTGCAGGCTGGAATGGAGGGCAGGGGATTTGGATGCCCTCTGGCCCGAGACAGCTGGAGACACGCAGAGCCCCTGACACCTTTATTCGCTCTCTTCACAGTTCAACACTGTAAAATCCAACAGGGCTGGAAAGGGCTGCCAGAAACCTGCTTTATCTCACTGCCCATAAGCCCATGAAATTAATATCGATTCTCAGCCTTGGAGGCTGTTTTTTTTTTTTTTTTTTTTTTTTTTTTTAACTTTCTAAAAGATGAACATTCTATTTGGCTTTTCTCTTCCCTTCCAAGACAAGCCATTCCTCAAAAGGGCAGTGTTCTGGGAGGCCGCATCTTGATCCACTTCACAAACAATGCATTTTCTCTTTACAGAGAGGCACCACGCATGGTTGGGGGGCGGGGAAGCTCCTTAAGCCAACCGTGGGATTAACACGGAGTCCGGCCCCCGGCTCCTCTGAGAAGCCGCCATCTGCTCCCGCGGTACCCCACCGCAGGCAGCAAAGGTTGGTTTGTTCCATGCTCCCATCCAGCCGGGTGGGAAGAGTGGGTGTCCCATCTTCACCTCTCTTAGACAAGTCCTCTGCAGACAGGCCTGACACCAGCTCCGCCAGCTCCGGGCTCATACGCCATCCAGCAGGCAGCACTCGGGGAAGCGCTTGAGTGATCTGGGCTTGGCCACTGCCCCAGCCTCTGCTCCTCTCCTCCCTCCCGAGGCTGCTCGCTCTGCTCAGCCACCCTGACCTCCCAGCTGCTGCGTGATATGCCACGTGGCATGCTCCTGCCTCAGGACCTCTGCAACTCGCTTCCTCTGCTAAGGACCAGCCCCACCCCACAGCGGCATGACTCATTCCGTTTTCTGCGCAACGTTCCTTCAGCAGCAGCCCCCCATCCCCCATCTAACTGGCCCCCTCCTTCCCTTTTTAGCCTCTGACCCTGCTTGTTCCCTAAAGGCGCCCAAGATTACCTGCCATGTTCTCACAGAGCAACTGCTTTTTTGTCCCCTCCCATCAAAGTATGAGTTCCATGGAGGCGGGGCTTTGTTTTGCTCCCTGCGGAGGCCCTGGTACTCAGCACACAGTAGGTGCTCAATGATACTTGTGGAAAGGATGGATGAACTCAGCCGGCAGAGAGCTAAGCATTTCAGAGCGCCGCTTCGGCTTTCGTCTTCAGGATCGCCTTACAGAGACGAGGAGACGGAGGTCTGGGAGAAGTGACTCACCTGAGGGCGCCAGCTGGCAAGGAGAGCTGGACTCAAAGCTGGGCCTGCAGACCCAGCGCCTCCACCCGGCACAGCAGCACGCCCAGCCGTTCCCGGCCCGCCTCCTCACTCCTCTCCTGATGCCCCCGGTAGACGGTGCACTGTCCGGCCACGTCTTCGTCACTTTTCCAGCCCCAAGGCTGAGTCCAGTGCTTAGCCACGAGTGGCTCTCAGGAGACACTGAAGGAATGAAATGCTACCACTTCCATGAATGATTCCCCAGGCTCACAGTGAGATCTAGGATGCCCATCACTGTCACCTCTTCTTCTCTGATGATTAAAGCGACCGCCTTCCCCAACAGACCCTGGGCTCCTGAGGACAGGCCGGGGCCCAGCCATCTGAGAATCCTCCACGCAGTCCGGCTCTGGTTCCATGTGGATCCGGGGCAGCTGGCAGACCAGCTTCCACCTGGGCCCTTGGGCCTCCAGGATCTGGTGACAACTGCTGGAGCAGCCCGAGGAAGCTCTTTTACACTCCTACTGGCTTCTGTGGCGTGCAGAGGTTGGCGGCAAGGGTGATTTTGCCGTGCAGCGGACACTGAGCAATGCCTGAAGACGTTTCTAATTGTCGCACTGAGGGTGTTACTGGCATCTGGTGGGTAGGGGCTGGGGATGGCTACAATGCACAGGGTGGCCCCACCACAAAGAATGACCCAATCCCAAACAGCAATAGTGCCAATGCTGACAACCCTGATGTACAGCCTTGGAAACGGAGGTGTGGCTGAGCTGGAAGATCCCAGAGGTCTAGCCAGGGGCCCAGGTGTGGCACAGTGACAGGCCAGGGTATTGAGCCACTAATGGAGTGGTCCAGCTAGCGGGGGCTGTGGGCCAGGACCTGCCATTCATCCATGAAGACTGCCCTGGGTGAAGAAGAGAGAGCCCCAGGACCCTTACAGATACGAAAAGGCCCATGGAGGTAGCAAAGTGCCCTGGGACAAACACCACCCCATAACTTGATAGAGGGCTTAGGGAACAGCCAAAAAGGCACCTGGCTCCCCTCTGACACGTGTTTCATTCCTGACACCCGACAATTCTCCCGTGGGTGGAAACAGAGGATGCTGAAATCTCACATGCACATTTGTGATTCCAATGACTCCAGTGGGAGGAACAGAAACATAAAGCAGGCTGAGAGTCTCCACATGTCACTTCTGCCCTGAGCCCCTCCCGAGCCTCCCTCGGGCTTCCGTCCTGCCTCTGCCCCGTGTGCCTCCATCACGGTGACTGTCACGTTGCCTGTGGCGCTGTCGTATGTATCTGTCCCCACTCCCCAAGCAGACTTGAGAGCCCTTGGAAACAGTACCCAGGCTTCATCTTTCCAGTCCTATGCCTAGGGCAGCAGCATCGGGAACACAAGAAGCAATGGGTTCTTGTTTACTAAGCAAATGCAAGAATGAAGGAATGAGCAGCTGACGGTCCACAGGCTCAGCCTTGCGTGACTTTCCCTTTCTCATCTCTCTGCAGTTTAAGAGCTGAAGGGGAGAAGGAAAGACCAACTGCCAGGTCTTCCCCACCACCCCTGCTTCCCTGCAGCTGTGGGCTGTGAGGGCCACATCGGGGGACAGACAGCCAGGGACACCTGCCTCCTACGGTACTTCCCAAACCTGTCCACCTCTGCATCCTGGACACATGGATGCAGCCACCACTGAATGTGTGGCTTCACCCCCAAGTTACCTCTTTAAGGATGAAATCTTCCCTTGTTGGTATCGGAGGGCTCCTCCTAAAGAGAAAAACCAGCGGGTCAGAGCCGTGGGAAAAGCTCACACATTTGGCTGAACTTTGGGTTGGGTTTGTTTTGCCCCATCCAGGAAAGAGGCTAAGTAATGAGTCACCCAGCTTCAATGACAGAAGGTGCAGGAGGGCAAAAGGCCCCCGAAGCCCCGCCAGGAAGCTCTCACCAGGTCTTGGGTTCCTGGGTCCCCTCCCTACAGGCTGCCCAGCATCCCCCAACAAGCCACATGGTGAAGGCAGGGCCCAGGCCTCGGCATCTGGGAGGCCACCTGCGTGGTCTGCGAACTCCACAGGAGCGGCTCTGCAGCCTGAACCTGCAATGCCCTTGGGGAGCTTGCGGAAGCTGCAGCTTCCCAGGCCACAGTCCCAACCCTGGAGATTCTGATTCATGGGGTATGAGGCAGGGCCCCAAGATTTCTCTCCATTTCCCCCAAAATAGGAAAATGTGATTGTCCCGGAATCCATTGATTCTTTTCCTACCAAACCAGCATAGACACCTGGGCACCTACCATTGTAATAAGAATTTTTTAAATAACAAAAATAAAATAAACTGAAGGCAGCACCTACCCCAAGTGCTGACAGCATTGTCCACTCCGGAGGGGTTCCCGTGAATCACTCTCTCCCCCTGGAAGGCCCACTTGTTAATGAGCTCCAAATCCTCCTTGGTCCACCTGAAGACACAGATGTTCGTCTTTACCATGGCAGTGGAGTGGGGCTGGGGAGGGCCGGGGGCAGCTGAGGGCAGGGGCTGAAGGCCGTGCTAGGGGAGGCCAAGGGGCATAGGAGCATGTGCCCTTGAGTACAGAAAGAACAAGCCCACGCTGAACCTCTCCAGCTACGGAGCATGCTGGACCTGCCCTTCTCTCTGAAGCCCACCAGGTGCAGTTGGAAGAGCCCGGGCTTTGGACTCTCGTGGTCCTACTTTGCCTCTTTTTTTTTTTTTGATACGGAGTCTCACTCTGTCGCCCAGGCGGGAGTTCAGTGGTGCAATCTCGGCTCACTGCAACCTCCGCCTTCCAGGTTCAAGCAATTCTCCTGCCTCAGCCTCCCCAGTAGCTGGGATTACAGGTGCGCACCACCACGCCCAGCTAATTTTTGTATTTTTTAGTAGAGACGGGGTTTCACCATATTGGACAGGCTGGTCTTGAACTCCTGACCTCATGATCTGCCTGCCTCGGCCTCCCAAAGTGCTGGGATTACAGGCGTGAGCCACTGTGCCTGACCCCTTCTTTGTCTCTTACTAGCTGAGTGACTCTGAGCCCATTATCTAACCTCTCTGAGCCTCACTTTCCTCCCTGGAGCATGGGAACCCCACCCTCTTCAGAGGCTAGCTGCATGTGTCTAATGATGGCAAGGTGTCCACAAGCAGCGGGTGGGAACTGCCACTCTAACAGACCTCTGCATCAGCGCCCACGCCTGAAGCAAGCCTGCCTTTAAGAAGAGCGGGCAGAGGTGTGACTGTTTCCCAGGGCCCTGCAAATAGATCCAAAGCCCCATCATTACGAATTCGAACCCCAGGGACCCCAGACACCCCGGGGGAGCCAGGCTGATCCCAGCCACGTCTGGATCTCTCCCAAGCACACGGCCTCACAGCCTTCCACAGAGCAGGTGTGGGCTCACAGTTTAAGTGAACAGACCCAAAACACGAGTATGGAACAAGGCAAAATGATCAGCCCCACTTCCTCATTTTTTCTCTCTGCTTTTGTTTCCTTTTTGCAGATTCCCTTCCTCATGAAACAGCAGAAGGTAAAGGTGTTTCTGTGACCTCAGAAGGACATGGCTCAGTGGCAGAGCTATGGGGCAAGCAGTGAGCCTGGTTTTGTATTTTCTTTTTCTTTCTTTTTTTTGAGATGGAATCCTACCGTCACCCAGGCTGGAGTGCAGTGGTGCAATCTTGGCTCACTGCAACCTCCGCCTCCTGGGTTCAAGTGATTCTCCTGCCTCAGTCTCCCAAGTAGCTGGGATTATAGGCACCCACCACCACGCATGGCTAATTTTTGTATTTTTAGTAGAGACGGGGTTTCGCTATGTTGGCCAGGCTGGTCTCGAACTCCTGACCTGAAGCGATCTGCCCACCTCAGCCTCCCTAAGTGATGAGATTATAGGTGTGAGCCACTGTGCCCGGCTAGTGAACCTGTTTTTGAAGCCCATCCCAACACTTGACTCACTGCGAATCTGTGAGCAACCTCTTCACCTCAGACCCTCAGTTTTCTCATCCATAAAACAGGGATAATAGGCTGGGTGTCGTGGCTCACATCTGTAATCCCAGCACTTTGAGAGGCCTAGGCAGGAGGATCATGAGGTCAGGAGTTCAAGACCAGAATGGCCAACATGGTGAAACCCCATGTCTAGTAAAAATACAAAAATTAGCTGGCCATGGTGGCTCGTGCCTGTAATCCCAGCTACTTGGGAGGCTGAAGTAGGAGAATTGCTTGAACTGGGACCCAGGAGGCAGAGGTTACGGTGAGCTGAGATCCTGCCACTGCATCCAGCCTGGGCTACAGAGACTCCATCTTAAAACAAACAAACAAACAGGGATAACAGTGTCTGTCTCACTGAGGATACTGAGATGGAAAAACACACAAGTGCTTTGTATAATGACCAGAAGACAGGATGTGGTCCCCCGAAAACAGGGCGTCTGGGGTCACCGTGCCCGGGTGCCTGATTCAATCACTTGCTGTGGAGCCCTGAGCAAGTCAATTACCTGCTGAGACTCTTTCCTCATCTGTCAAATAGGATTTGTATGGACTTGCAACTCACATGGTAGCTGTGAGGCTATGATTAATAATGAGTTAACATCAGTGAACATACTACTAATTAGCATGTGCCAAACGTTTTTTCAAATGGACCGTTGAGAAATGGTCCATAATCCTCCCAGTTGTACCCTACAGGGAAGGTTCAATTATTATCCTGTTTCTTACAGAAGTGGAAACTGAGGCTTGGATGGGTAAAACAGCATCCTGGAGATCACAGTGCTACTCACTGCTATATCAGAACCACATCTGCTGACCTGGAGCCCAAGCTCTTAGCTACTAACTTAATGGCACCAGCAAGATACACTCACTTATTCATTCGGTATTTACTGAGCAACTACTAGGTGCCTGTGACTAAGCTCCCAATAGGAAGCAAAACAGACAAGGTCCCTGACTTCCTGGAGCTTAGAGTCTAATGGAGAAAGTGAAGGTCAGTAAGCAATCAATATTCAAATACAAACAAATCCATGACACTGCAATATGTCACTACAAAGCAGGTGTTTCTCTAAGAGTGCTGTGGGCTGAATTAGGGGCAGGGGGCTTGAAGGACAAGGGGAGCCAGGTGGACAAGGTGCGGGAGGGTGAGTTCCAGATATGGCGGCCAGCCTGTGCAGCTGTGGAACCACACCAGAGCTGGCTGGCCCTTTCTAGGGACTGACAGGTGGCAGCATGCCTGGAAAAGAGGCAAGCAGTGGAGGCGGGGGAAGGTAACTCAGGCAGCTGACCTAGCCCAGGGCCTGGCCCCCTCCACAAATGTGTGTGTTTTTTAGACCACAGTTTGTTTTTTAGGGGGCTCAGATGAGAATCTTCAAAGGAGACTGGGCTCCAGTCCTTTCCAACTCAGAAACGCATGGTGGGGGGGGGTGGGAGGGGGTTCTGCTCTTCGCAAGGGTTCTGAGGAGGAGTGACTGGCCTTCAGGGGAAGGTGGAAAATGGTTAGAAACAGCATACGCACACACACACACACACACACACACACACACATGCGTGTGCACACGCACGCACAGTCACCCTCTGCCTTTTGAAAGGAAGGGCCAGTCTGTTGGCCAGTGGAGAATCGCTTGAACCTGGGAGGCAGAGGTTGCAGTGAGCTGAGATCACACCACTGCACTGCAGCCTGGGTGACAGAGCAAGACTGTGTCTCAAAAAAAAACCAAGCTCAGAAAACAAAATAAAAAACCCAGCCTAGGAAGAAACAGAGCTCTGTATCTGGGGGCCCCATCCACAGCTCCTGTCCCGGGACAAACTGCACCACCGCTGTGCTCCGGATGCTTTCCCAAGGAGCATTCTCCTAATGAGAGAGATGGTCAGTGGTCAAGCCTGTCTTGACAGGCCTGAGTCACGTGATTCCCCACCAGCAGGGACGCAAAGAGGTGACATGCCCTGTGGAGTCGGCCCTGTAGGAGGAGCAGTGCCCTGGTCTCATGGACACACCCCCAGTGTGGAGTTCTGAGCTCACTGTAGCTTCTTTCATAGCTGTGTGGGAAAACTGGGCAATCACCCGTAGAGCACTGCCATCACCATCCAGAGGAGGACACGGAGGCTCTGGGGGTTTCTAGGCCACTGTCCTAGGGTGAGTCACTGCAGAGGTGGGGTTCATCTAACCCGCCACCCTCCAGCTCTGGCCTTTAGCTCTTTCTACCATACCACGGACGCTTGAACCCAACAGAGCCAAGACAGGGGTGAGCAGAGGTGGTGGAGAGCAGGAGGAAAAGCTCGGACTCTGAGTTCAAACCCTGCTGCCAGCACTAGCTGTGTGGCCTTGGGCCAGCCATTTGGCCTCTCGGGCCTCAGCTTCCTCATCTACAAAATGGCTACTATGACACCTCTCACGTCACAGGGAGGCGGTAAGGTCTGAGCCAGAGAAGCCCCGCTCCCCCTGTCCTGCTGCTCGGGAGGGACACTGGCCAGGCTAGGGCCATGAGTACCTGTTGACGTGCTCCCCGTCCTTCAGCGGGTTTGGGATCTCCTCACACGTGGTCAGGAGGGCCGCTGCCAGACACACTGAGTAGGCGGCGCTGGAGCCCAAGCCCGCCCCGGGGGGCAGCTCCGACCACACTACCACATCCAGGCTCGGCAGGGTCCTGAAACACACCAGGCACGAAAAGTGACTCTCCTGCAGGGTGGAGGGTGCCAGCACTGAACCAGGGGCCAGGCCCAGGCCTGACTCCAAGCATCCGGTCCGCTTTTCTCAACTGGGAGACTTCTTGGCCCCAAATGTGTCCCTACTGAACATCTGGAACTCATGGTGAATCAGACAACTAGAAAACAGGTACCAGGTTTAATCCCTGGGTCATCCAACTAAAGCCCTTCCCAGAAGCACCTGGCAAGCTGTCAGCCCCTTTCTCCACCTCCTTCCCACGCCCACGTGCTGGGCTTTTCTGTGGCTCTGCTCTGAGCATAGCCTGGCCCCTCGGCCTGCAATAGCCTTATACCTCCTTATCCCCCAGAGAAATCCCCACCCATCTTTTAAGGCCTTACCGCATGTCGCTTCCACTATGACACTTTCCCTAGCTACCTACAAAGACCACTCCTAGCTCCCCTTGTAGGACCCACTGTGCGCCCTCCACACCACTGCCTCGTCACAGAACCCTAGGACTGTTCACCGGGGGCCTCTCCCGCCGGACGGTGTCCCCCAACCATGTGTCACACGGTCTGCTTTTGATCAAAAGTTCTGAATCGCTACATCTTACGTGTATTTCCCCCCAGCGCGAACTGTCCAACTTCGTTTGGTAATTTCCACAAAGTACTTCTCCCATTTCCCAAATATAAAAATTGCAATACTGAATGTGTGTCTTCAAATTCCACACACTCACCCCACCCAGACTGGAAGATTCTGAAATGTCCCTCACCCACTTAAGGGGACACGCCTCTCTCAAGCTGAAATTCTGCCTCAGACAGCAAGTATCAGGCCATTTCCAAATGCGTCCCCAGCACGGAGCCTGGCCACTAAACCCAAATCTGCTGCTCAAGGGAAGGGCTGTCCCTGGAGGTTTCCCGTTGGGTTCTGGACGAAAACGACAACAACAACAACAGAGAGGCTGGGGCCAGGTTCGGTGGCTCATGCCTGTGATCCCAGCACTTTCAGAGACCAAGGCACTTGGATCACATGAGCCCAGGAGTTTGAGACCAGCCTGGGCAACACAGTGAGACTCCATCTCTATAAAAATTTAAAAATTAACCAGGTCTGGTAGTGTACACCTGTACTCCCAACTACTTGGGAGGCTGAGGCAGAAGGATCACTTGAGCCTGGGAGGTCGAGGCTGTAGTCAGCTGAGATCATGCCACTGCAGTCCAGCCTGGGCGACAGAGACCCTGTCTCAAAAAAAAAAAAAAAAAGGCATGCCATTATACTGTCTGGCAAGGCGAGGACAGAAAACAGTGGCCACTCCAGGAGTATGTGTACTCTCCAGCAGCGACGACAGAAACCCTTCCTGCTTCCCCACAGGAGGCGGCATCTGGACTCCTTCCCCAGACCACGCACACACCTCTGCTTCCGGAAGATGGACAGGTATAAGTAAAGAAAGGCCAGCACAGCCAGGCGCTCGGTGACAGCACAGTCGTCAGGCAAGCCCGCAACCTCCTTCAGCTTCTCCACTTGCTCTGGGGTGGGCGCTGTGACATCACCTTGCTCTGTCCCACAGGCAAACAAGCAAACACAAGTGGGTGAGAGGGCCTCAGGTGCTTTATAAACAATACAGAAAGTCAACTTGTCACTGCGATCGGAACATGGGTGGACATGAATTTACTGTCTGAATACCACACCCAAGTCTATTTACTGGCTTTAGGCAGACCTGGGTTTGCGTCCCAACTGTGCCATTTACTGGCCATGTGACTGAACCTCCCTGAACCTGTTTCCCACCTTGGTAAAACAGGGATAACAACAGTGTCTTTTCACAGGGTTGTCATGAAGGTAAAGTTAAAAAAAGGACGTAAACTTTTTAGCACAGCACCTCGCATGTAGTAAGTGCTTAATCAACAGTAGTTTTAAGGCCGGATGCAGTGGCTCATGCAGGTAATCCCAGTACTTTGGGAGGCTGAGGTGGGCCAATGACTTGAGCCACGAGTTTGAGACCAGCCTGGGCAACATGGCAAAACTCTAACTCTACAAAAAGTACAAACACTAGCCAGGCATGGTGGCGTACACCTGTGGTCCCAGCTACTCAGAAGGCTGAGGTAGGAGGATCGTTTGAGCCTGGGAGGTTGAGGCAACAGTGAGCTGTGCTCGTATCACTGCACTCCTCCCTGCATGACAGAGTGAGACCCTGTCTCAAAAAAAAAAAAAAAGTCTTAAAACACACACACACACACACACACACACACACACACACACACACACACAAATACACACAGAATGCTTGCTCAATCACACAAAGTCCTAGGTTTCACCTTCCATTGTATGAAACCAAAATCAAAGGAGTACTAAGTTACCCCCCAAAATACTTCCCTCCTCTAAAAGAGAATCGTCAGGAATAGAACCTGTAAATGTGAGGCACTGCCTGGGCAGAAGGGGAGGGTGAGGCAGGCGGGGGAATGTGCAGGAGCCTGGGCCGCTTCCCTCTGAGACACCAAGGAGGCAGAGCCTGTCTGGCCAGCTTCCCTTTACAAACCCCTCCCTGAGCGTCAGGCCAAATTCTCAAGGGACCGGGAGATGGGACTGGGTGTGTGTGTGTCAGGAAACCTGGGGCAAGGGTTAAGGGCTGGGTAATACCTGTTGAATAGATTAATGATACACTCAAAACGGCAAGTCAAGACACTGCCGAGAACCCAGATGTTTCAGAGCTCTGTAATCCAGATGGAACAGTTGTTAAGAGCCTGGATCTGGGGGCTGGAAGAAACCTGGATCTGAATCCTTTCCATATCGCCAGCGAGTATAACCTGAGCCACCTGACCTCTGAACTTTAATTTTCAAATCTGTACAATGGGGATGCATGACACCACCTACTCCCAGGAATGCTGGAGAATTCTAAGAGTGCTAATACATGTGAACACGCTTATCAGTGCCTGGCACACATAAATGTCCAACAGGTGTCCACTGGAGTACTAGGGTACAGTGGCACGTGCCTATAGTCCCAGCTACTGAGGAGGCTGAGGCAGGAGGATCACTTGAGCCCAGGAGTTTGAGACCAGCCTGGGCAACACAGCAAGACCCTGCCTCTAAAAAAAAAAAAAATGTTCAGTGTTTATTACTATCATGCGGGAGCAAAAGGACACTGAAAGAAAGATGGTGGATCTTTGCAACTTAGTAGAAGGTGCTGTGTCTCCCAATGCTCTGAAACTAACAAGCCCTTAGCCACGTACTGCAGTCTGTCACAGCCCCAGTACCCGCCTCCAGTGTGGTCAGATCCTCACGCCAGCCCTCAGTCAGGCAACAAGTCTCTGCTCCCAGAGGGCCAGAGGGTGAACGGACCTGCCCAGGTTCACCGAGGGAGCGGAGCGGTCTGAAACATGTTCTCCCACACCTGGTTGCTTCCACCCCAAGCTGCCGACACACGCAACTTGCAGCTGGTTCTCAGGGGACATTTCTGGCCTGGATGGGTGGCCCTTTGCACCACGGAAAGCAAGTTCCACATCCTCTGGCTGGCTGTTTTCAGATGCACGCTCCAAAGGAGTGACTTCTTTTTTTTTTTTTTTTGAGGTGGAGTTTCGCTCTTGTTGCCCAGGCTGGAGTACAATGGTGTGATCTCAGCTCACCACAACCTCCACCTCCCAGGTTCAAGTGATTCTCCTGCCTCAGCCTCCCAAGTAGCTGAGATTACAGGCATGTGCTACCACACCTGGCTAATTTTGTACTTTTAGTAGAGGCGGGGTTTCTCCATGTTGGTCAGGCTGGTCAGGAGTGGCTCTTAACTGAAGTGTTCCCAGAATCTTTCAGGGAACCCTTTTCAAAAACTCCTATCACCACTGCCAACTTCTAATAATAGAGGGGCAGAGCCAGGAGTCCATCTGTACTGGTAAAAACAAAAACAACGGCCGGGCGCAGTGGCTCACGCCTGTAATCCCAGCACTTTGGGAGGCCGAGGCGGGTGGATCAGGAGGTCGAGAGATCGAGACCATCCTGGTCAACATGGTGAAACCCCGTCTCTACTAAAAATACAAAAATTAGCTGGACGTGGTGGCGCGTGCCTGTAATCCCAGCTACTCAGGAGGCTGAGGCAGGAGAATTACCTGAACCCAGGAGGCGGAGGTTGTGGTGAGCTGAGATCGCGCCATTGCACTCCAGCCTGGGTAACAAGAGCGAAACTCTGTCTCAAAACAAAAACAAAAACAAAAACAAAAACAACAACCACAATCACAAAAAACTGCTGGGTGATTCCAAGACATGATGAGGTTTTGAAGAGTTGCTCTAAAATGAGGATTCTGGCGGGTCACAGTGGCTCTCACTTGTAACCACAGCACTTTGGGAGGCCAAGGTGGGAAAGTGGCAATCTGCTTGAGGCCAGAAGTTCCAGACCAGCCTGGGCAACACAGCGAGACGCCGTCTCAACAAGTGAAATAAGAATTTTCAATTCTTCCTCCATCTCCATACTGGAGTGACAGTTTCTCATGGGGAATGGGAAGCAGGTGTCAAGGGTTTGGGTGTAGTCCAGGGAAAAACCCAAGAAGCTTCTCATTTACCCCACCCTGGCTGAGAAACACTGTTCCAAAGAGCAAGGCTTCAGCCCAGAGAGCAGACAGCAAACTGAGAACAGAAAACACACCTCAGCTGTGGGGCCGGTGCAGGGGATCTACTCACGGAAAAAGCTAGCTTGCTTATGAGTGGATGAAATCTTCATGTTGGCAAAAGTCAGCACACATACCCAATACACAAAAGAAAATACTGGCATTTCTGAATGGTTTATATGGCCTGACCCAATTTTGGTTAAAAAAAACAAGATAACTCCGTCTCAATCTTTCTATCCATCTATAGAAAATCACCCAGAAGAATTAATGCCAAAATGCTTGGAGTCATTACTGGGGTCAGGGAAGGGAGAAGGGGAATAATAGGTGATTTTTAAATTACAATGTCCCAGTATTAACTGTCTTTTCCAATAATAACCATAGGTTACTTTTATTTTTATTAATTTTTTTTTTTTTTAAGATGGAGCCTTGCTCTGTCTCCCAAGCTGGAGTGCAATGGCGAGATCTTGGCTCACTGCAACCTCCACCTCCCAGGTTCAAATGATTCTCTTACCTCAGCCGCCCGAGTAATTGGGATTACAGGCATGTGCCATCACACCCAGCTAATTTTTGTATTTTTAGTAAAGATGGTGTTTCACCACGTTGGCCATGCTGGTCTCAAACTCCTGATCTCAGGTGATCGGCCTCCCAAAGTACTGGAACGACAAGCCTAAGCCCTGTGCCCACCCTACTTTTACTAACTTTTAATTATACAAAATGCCAATATTCTCATTTAAAACGTGTCCCTTTGTCTTTCTCTGGGCCGAGGTCTCTCCCAGGAGAACTAATCACCACTGCCAATCTGATGTCTACACCCCTGAGATCTTTTTCTATCATTCATATACCTATTTATACTGAAATATGTATGTTTGCTGTTTTGCATTTTTTTCACTCAACAATAGACCTTGATGATCTTCCACAATAGCCCACAGAGATCCAATGAATTGTTTTACATTTTTAAATTAAAAAAAAAAAATGAGTGATGCTAATTTTAAGAGGTCAGGGTAGAAAACTGGAAATGGCTGGCCCTTGACTCCCTTGGGGACAGTGTGGAATACCTGGCCAGCTACCCTCTGTGCAGGAGCAAGACTCTTACCACCTGGTTTCTCTTCCTTGCACTTACCCAGAAAGCTTGTGTCCAGTAGCTGAAGCCTGGCCACGTCCCAGGCCCGCTTGATACCAATGTTGGGTAAGGTGAGGTCCACTTTCCCACTGCTGTGGGGTTGAAGCCGGAGGAATGTTCTCAAGTTCAAGGCCACAGCCAGTGCTACCTACAGAATAAAGGACAAAAGCAGTAAGCCTGAGGGTGGGTGGCAAAGGGGCCAGCCAATGCTAAGAAGGGCGCAAATGTGAACACACAGGCCACTCTCAGCCATGCCCTGGCCAGACACTGCTAATCAACCTTGGCATGCTCTCCCACTAAGCCTGGGCACAGCCACCATCGACCAACTCAAAGTCAACATCCACTTTGCCTTTTGCCTGAAAAATTTCAGAGGTTCTCAACACCAAGGAATCACTTTCCCATAATGACTATGTTTTCAAAGAGAAGTATAAGAACATAAGGAATAGCAGTTAGAGACCAGGTGTGGTGGCTAATGTCTGTAATCCCAGCATTGTGAGAAGCCAAGGCAGGAGGATCACTTGAGCCCAGGAGTTCAAGACCAGCTTGGTGTCAAACAGAACATATCTCTACCAAAAAAAAAAAAAAGAAGAAAAAGAAAGAAAAGAAAAAATAAAGTTAGTGGAGTGAGGTGGTACACACCTGTGGTCCCAGTTACTCGGCAGGCTAAGGTTGGAGGCTGCAGTGAGCCATGATTGCAAGACTGCACTCCAGACTCAGAGACAGAGCAAGACTGTCTCAGGGGAAAAAAAAAAAAAAAAGAATAGCAGAGTACAGCAGGGGTGGGTTCAGACAGAGGTTCACACCAAGCTCTACCAAGGTGTATAGGACTTGGATCAAGTTACCACTTCTCTAGTATCACCCGACACTGGTTAGGAAAAAAAAAAAGTTACCACTTCTCTCCTAAGCCTCAGTTTCCATATTCGTAAAATAGGATAATAAAAAGGTATGATTCAGGGGATAGGTGTAAGGGTAAAATGAACTAACGTTATGTTTTTTACTCTTTTGCTAGATCCTTCCAACTTCTAAATGTCTTAGTGCCCCAGAGCTTAGTTATCAAACCTCTTTCCTTCTGCATCAAAGCTCACTCCTAGGTTATCTCATTCCATTCACAGGGCTTTATATATCATCCTTTTTCTATCATACTGAGCGAGGCCAAAGAATCCTTTCAGTGGGCAGAAGATACCTTTTTCTTGCCTGGCTGGGGAGAAACTGATCCCTCTGATCTGCTCCCAACCTGTGCCTCAGGGTGTCCTTTTATCTTCTTGCAAAATTAGCATCAGGGAAAAGGGGTACCCAATCCTTAAAGGCTCTAACAGTTTTTTTTTTTTTTTTTTTTTTTTGAGTCGTGGGTCTCCCTCTGTCGCCAGGCTGTAGTACCATGGTGTGATCTCCGCTCACTGCAACCTCCACCTCTGGGGTTCAACCAATTATTCTGCCTCAGCCTCCTGAGTAGCTGGGAGTATAGGAGCCCACCACCACACCTGGCTAATTTGTGTATTTTTAGTAGAGACGGGGTTTCACCATATTGACCAGGATGGTCTTGATCTCTTGATTTTGCGATCCGCTCGCCTTGGCCTCCCAAAGTACTGGGATTACAGGCATGAGCCACCACACCTGGCCTTGCTGTAATGGCTTTTTACCTTGCCATGTACCACGGCATGTTCTCCATGAAGGATGACTTTCCCCGGAGCAGACACCAGTAGGACTTCTGACAACATGGCTCCTGGGAATCCTAAAAGGGAAAGCCAGTGAGAAGAGCAAAGATCTCCAGATGTCAGACCCAGCTGGAAGAGATCTTAGAGAAAACCTAGTTCAAGTCCGTCATAGTAACAAAAAAGGTACTTACTGTCCAGCACCTGCTATGTGCCAGAAACGCAATGCAGCAGTCAACTGGACCCATCCAATAGATCTGGGTTCAAATCTCAGCTCTTCCACTCCCCAGTGATGTCATCTTAGCTAACTCACTTAAATGGCTATGAACCTCGGCTTCCCCACATGTTATATATAGAGAAAATAACCATACCTACCTCAGTGATGTTAGGAAGGTTAAATTAGTGCAAGGGAAACACTTAGCAGTGTCTGGCACTTACTAATCATTCAGTAACTGAGAGCTGCTTATTACTGGCTCTGTTATTCATTTCAGCGTTTACAACGACTACTATTAAAGGTAGAAATTTACATGAAATCATGGACCAGAAAGAATTCTTTGCTGGACATTTAGGTTGTTTCAATGTGTCACAATTAGAAAAAAAGGCTGCAGAAAACTACCGGCACGCCTCGTTTTGCACACTTAAGTATTTCTGCAGGACAGAGTCCTAGAAAGGGGCTTCCAGGGTCTACAGGTGTGTGCAACTTACACATTTATAAATAAGGCAAAATTATCCTCCGATTAAGGCTTTACGTAGATGATCTTACCCTAAGATCCAAGTGCACTATGAGCTAAGTACTATCAAGATCCCCATTTCTTAAAGAGAAAGACTGAGGCACAGAGCGGGGAATCCCCTTGCTTGCTTGCCCCAAGCTCAGAATCACGACTGACAGATTGAAGTCCCTGACCCTCGGGACAGACTCAGAGCTGGGGAAACTGAGCCACAGAAGCTGGGCGCCTGGCTCACAGTCGACCAGGGTCTAGGACCTCGCGCCACCCGGCCCCGCAACCCCAACCTCTCACCTGCCGCCGCCGCCACACCGGCCGCCGTTCCTCCGCGCAGTAGCCGGAGCAGCACCCCAACACCTACAGCCCAGAGCGCCAGTGCCCCAAGGGGAGGAGGTCTTGTCCTTCAGTCCAGCCAATCAGAGCGCGCGAGCCCGGAGTCCCTTTACTAATAGGTTTGAACATTGGTCAATAAGGGTTGCAGTTCAGCAACACGGGTTTTCCCGCCCCGCTCCTGCCGTTAAACCAATGGGAATCAAGTCCCTGGGAGGGTCCCGCCCTGGGGCGAGAACGGTGAACCAATGAAAATTGACAGCTGAGCGGTGGCGCGGCCGGCTGTGGGTGGAGTCACCCCGGGGCCTGGACGGGAACTTGGCGGGGTCAGGTCTGTCAGGCTGCCCTGGATCATGGTTGTGTGGGGCCTGGGGAGCCGTCTTGGCCTGCGTAGGTGCCTCGTCGCAGCCAGGCTCCTGCATCCCCGTTTCCAGAGCCGCGGCCCTCAGGGCGTGGAAGACGGGGACAGGTGAGTGGCTGGCGGGAAGGGGTAACTCAAGTACCTGCCGTGAATCGTGCTGTCGTGCCCTTGGGTACGTCACACCGCCGTGAGGTCACCGCGGCAACCGTCAGGTGACGTCTCCACGCTGTCGTGACGTCACCATGGCAACATGGGCCACGTGGGCGCCAGAGACCAGAAAATCTTTGCCTAAGTCCCAATGAAGCCCAGCTATCATCCGGCAGGGCAGAGAGTATCCCATGTGGGCCAGGAGGGCTCTGGACTCAGATTGTGTCCAATCTCCAAAGCAGTTTATCCCATAGGTCCCAGATACACCAGCACCTTCTAAAGATGGCTTTCCTCATATACCTTGAAACTTGCACCCCTAACCCAGATCTCAGAACCTCTTGAGTATCGTGGATTAATAGTGAATTAATTTAGTCCACAGTTCCAGGAACTTAACCTTCGAATGGCCTTATAATGTCACATTTTAATATTGAGCTATGTCCTTGAGTCGTTTACATTGTTATTTTGTTATTTGAAAATGCCACTTTTTGAGCTCCGTTTTGCCAATTCTTCATCTCTGAGTACACTCGAAGCCTCATAGTATGGAAGTGGCCCAGGTTTCTTTCCCTGCAAGAGGCTCTGAGTTGGTGGAGTATAAGATAAGAATTTGGGTAGGGTAGAGTTAAGAGTCCTAGCTACCTGGGAGGCTGAGGCAGGAGGATCACTTGAGCCCAGGAGTTCAAGACTGCAGTGAGCTATGATCATGCCACTGCACTGCAATCCAGCTTAGGCACAGACCAAGACCCCGTCTGTTAACAAAATAATCATAGGCCAGACAACGGTGGCTCTTCCTGTAGTCACAGCACTTCGGGAGGTTGAGGCAGGCATAGTGCTTGAGCTCAGGAGTTCAAGACCAGCCTGGGCAACATGACGAAACCTGTCTCTACCAAAAAAGAAAAAAAAAAAATTAGCCGGACATGGTGGTACACACATGTGGTCACAGCTACTGGGGAGGTTGCGGTGGGAGGATTGCTTGAGCCTGGGAGGCAGAGGTTGTCGTGAGCCTAGATTGTGCCACTGCACTCCAGCCTGGGTGACAGAGTACGACCCGATCTCATTAATTAATAAGAAGAAAGAAAGAGAGAGAGAGAGAGAGAGAGAATTTCAGTAGGATAGAAGTTAAAGTTTGTGTTGCAGTCTAGGACAGCCTTCGGCATCCCACTCCTGCCTCTTCCTGGGTGACCTAGGAAGGTGAGTCTCACCTGAACTACAGTTTCCTCCTCAGTAAAATGAAGATAATAGGTGGTGGTTACCTTTGGGGTTGTGGAAAGATTCCAGGGAAGATAATGCCTGTAAAGTACTTGGCACAGTGCAGGAACAGTGGCAAATGATCAATGAATTCCTTCAGCAAATATTTATTGATCATTTACGTTGATCAAGGCATTACATCACTACTGTACATGCTCTGTCACCCAGCTCTGTGTCTTGCCCACAAAATGTTTGCTATTAGAAGGTATCTAGGGGAAAGAAATCAACAAGAGATTACCATCTAAGCCACGAGGGGTAGGTGGTGCCTCTGAGGTTACAGGCAGCGAGCTGGGACCCACTGAGGAGCTGACCCCTGTGTAAGCCATCCCCACGTACCACCTATTGATATCTGTTTCTCCGTAGGCCCCAGCCTTCCTCGAGGACACCCAGGATCCCCAAGATTTACACCAAAACAGGAGACAAAGGTAGGGTGGGGACAGGGGAAAATGCAAAGAAATACACATGGCATACCCCATTTTAAAGTTCTTCCAAATTCTTTGCAGCCACTGAAAAGTATAATATGTGGCCAGGCGAGGTGACTCATGCCTGTAATCCTGGCACTGTGGGAGGCCCAGTGGGCAGATCACCTGAGGCCAGGAGTTTGAGACCAGCCTGGCTAATGTGGTGAAACCCCATCTCTACTAAAAATACAAAAATTAGCTGGACATGGTGGCGCATGCAGTCCCAGCTACTTGGGAGGCTGAGGCAGGAGAATTGCTTGAACTCGGGAGGCGGAGGTTATAGTGAGCCCCGAGATTGTGACACTGCACTCCAGCATGGGTGACAGAACAAGACTCTGTCTCAAAAAAAAAAAAAAAAAAAAAAAAGTGGCCGGGCGCGGTGGCTCAAGCCTGTAATCCCAGCACTTTGGGAGGCCAAGGCGGGTGGATCATGAGGTCGAGATCGAGACCATCCTGGTCAACATGGTGAAACCCCGTCTCTACTAAAAATACAAAAATTAGCTGGGCGTGGTGGCGCGTGCCTGTAATCCCAGCTACTCAGGAGGCTGAGGCAGGAGAACTGCCTGAACCCAGGAGGCGGAGGTTGCGGTGATCCGAGATCACGCCATTGCACTCCAGCCTGGGTAACGAGAGCGAAACTCCATCTCAAAAAAAAAAAAAAAAAAAAAAAAGTGTAATATATGACAGATTTCAACTTAATATACATTGTGAAAATGTAGTGTGAAATGAAAAACAGCCAAGATATATTAAGTGATAAAAGCCTGAATCTATCTGGATATGTGTAGAATAGTCTCTGAAGGGTTACACCTGGGACTGTTCCTGGGGGGAAGATTAAGTTGAAAGAGGAATGAACAGAAGGACTTTCGCTATCTACATACGTTTATTCTATTGTATTATTTTTAATAATGAGTATCTATTACTTTCTCTTTTTTTGAGACAGAGTTTCACTCTGTCATCAGGCTGGAGTGTGGTGGCACAGTCACTTGGTTCACTGCAACCTCCACCTTCCACATGCAAGCAATTCTCTTGCTTCAGCATCCCAAGTAGCTGGGACCACAGGCACCCGCCACCATGCCTGGCTGATTTTTTGTATTTTTTATAGAGATGGGGGTTTCACCATGTTAGCCAGGATGGTCTCGATCTCCTGACCTTGTGATCCACCCGCCTCAGCCTCCCAAAGTGCTGGGATTATAGGCATGAGCCACCGCGCCCGGCCCTATAATGAGTATATATTACTTTAATCATTTTTAAATGCTAGAACATGATGTTATACAGAAAAAAGATGCAGAAGAATGTGTTAGTATGATACTTTTTCTTTTTTGGAGACAGGGTTTCAATCTGTCACCCAGGCTGGAGTGCAGTGGCACAGTCACGGCTCACTACAGCCTCCAACTTTCAGACTCAAACTATCCTCGCACCTCAGCCTTCTGAGTGTCTGGGACAACAGGCATACATCACCATGCCTGGCTAATACTTTTTAATTTTTATTTATTTTTATTTATTTATCTATTTATTTTTAAAGACGGAGTTTCACCATGTTGATCAGGCTGGTCTTGAACTCCCGACCTCAGGTGATCCACCCGCCTTGGCCTCCAAAGTGCTTGGATTACAGGCATGAGCCACCACGCCCGGCTACTTTTTAATTTTTTTGTAGAGATAAGGTCTTGCTATGTTGCCCAGGCTGGTCTCGAACTGCTAGGCTCAAGCTATACTCCCAGCTCAGCCTCCCAAAGTGCTGGGATTACAGGAGGCATGATCTACCGCACTCAGCCAGTATACCATTTTTTGAAGTATAAAAACATGCAGATCACTAGTATGTATTGTTTTTTGGATATATGCTTGTATAGTAAAAGTATAAAAGCATGCACAGGACATACCCAATGTCACTGAATGGTAAAATTAAAAAGTCAAAATGTAAAATTTCTGTTATGTATCATCTATTACCACAGTTAAAAAGAAGAAAAGAGGATGCTAGAAAGGACTTTATGGGTTGGGTTTGTGTTGGGTGGTTTCAGGGAGGATTCCAGGAAGTGGGGCTTTGCTCCGGATCGAATCCTGTTAGGAAGCAGGGCTATTTCTGTAATTGGGTATTTTTTGTTTGTTTGTTTTTTAAGATAGGGTCTCACTCTGTTGCCCAGGCTGGAGGGCAGTGGCACGATCTCGGCTCACTGCAACCTCTGCCTCCCGGGTTCAAGTGTTTCTTGTGCCTAAGCCTCCCAAACAGCTGGGACTACAGGTGTGCACCACCACGCCTGGCTCATGTTTTTTATTTTTAGTAGAAATGAGGTTTCACCATGTTGGCCAAGCTGGTCTTGAACTCCTGGCCTCAAGCGATCTGCCTGCCATGGCCTGAGCCACCGTACCTGGCCTGTAATTGGTATCTTAATTTTTTTCTAGAAGCCAGAAGGGACAAAGAGGTGCTGAAGCTGTAATGGATGAAGATGCAGCAGTCACTCACATTGGCCAGGGAAGGGGGAGGTTTGGTCATCTTTGGGAGTTTGGACAGTCATCTATGCTCAGACGTTATTCCAGAGTGGCCTTGTTTTGGTCTTGAACCGTCACAGTTATAGAACGGCCTGTCTGACAGTGTTCTGTGAAATGGTTTGTGTTCAGCAGAACACCACAGTCTACCTGTGAGTGCCAGGCCAGCACCTGGCAACCCCAAAGCCTGCTTGATAGCGAAAGCCAGCTCCCACCTGTCAGGGGCAGCTTTTACTTTCTGAGAGGTTGTGGGAGAAAGGCAGGAATTGTGAGCTAGGCAGAGGTACAGGGGACTTTGACTTCATGTGACATATAATGGTAATGTACATATGATGTACAATATATCACACATATATTTTATTTCTTTATCAGGATGGTGTTTTTTTTTTTTTTTTTTTTTTTCTTTTGAGATGGAGTCTTGCTCTGTCACCCAGGCTGGAGTGCAGTGGCACGACATCTGTTCACTGCAACCTCCGCCTCCCGGGTTCAAGCAGTTCTTCTGCCTTAGCCTCCCGTAGTGTGTGACTTTTAAGTTTAAAATAAAAGCACACCGGGAAGGAAGTGAGGATGGTGGTTAACCCTTGGGGAATGGCAACTGAAAGTGGTGCATGGGGGATTTCAGGGTGTTGGTCATGTTCTGTTTATTAAGCTAGGTGCTGACCACGGAGGTATATTCAGTTAGTAACAGTTCACCGACTCACATACTTATAATCTGAGCACTTTTCTGTGTGTATTCTATACTTCAACTTGAAAATTCTTTAAGGGCTGGTGCGGTGGCTCATACCTGTAATCTCAGCACTTTGGGAGGCTGAGGTGGGTGAATCACTTGAGGTCAGGAGTTCAAGACCAGCCTAGCCAACATGACAAAAACCTGTCGCTACTAAAAGCACAAAAAGTTAGCAGGGCATGGTGGTACACACTTGTAATCCCAACTACTTGGGAGACTGAGGCACAAAAATCACTTGAACCTGGGAGGCAGTGAGCCAAGATCATGCCACTGTACTCCAGCCTGGGCAACAGAGTGACCGTTCAAAAAAAAGAGAGGAAAAGTTCTTTAAAAGCTTTGAAAGTTTAAGGAAAAAAAACGCCAGCCTGTCAGGAAAACAGGATCTTAATTTGGGTGACGAAACATTTTTTTCCACAGGGTTTTCTAGCACCTTCACGGGAGAAAGAAGACCCAAAGATGACCAGGTGTTTGAAGCCGTGGGAACTACAGATGAATTAAGTTCAGCTATTGGGTAAGGGGGACAGGACCGGCCTTGAGGTTGAGTTTGAATTGAATACGAATAAATGTGTGAAGCTGTCACACGTGCCGGGCAGCTGCCTCGGGGGTTGTCAGTCCTTACTGAGCGTCCCTCAGCCCTGAAGCACAGGCTGGTCAGCTCCACAGGGCTGCGGGTCTGCAGACCCCTTTCCCTCTTGGGCGTGTCTAGTGCCTGCACCGGCCACTGTCCCATGCCGTGTGAAGCTGCCTCCCTCTCATCCCCCGCTTTTCAGGTGAGCCTGTGTGTGCCACTGAAGTTAGTACAATGAGTGAAAGGGATGAGTTAGTATAATGCACAGGATATCCAATGTGATCTCTTTTGTGAATGTTGGTTTTTAAATAAGCCAGCGTTTAGAAGGTGGACTCAAAGAATTGGTCAGGATGGGACAGGTTGTGCTGTGGACACAAACAGCCCCCAGATCTCCTGGCTTGTGACACCAGTGGTGGACTTGCTGCTCCGACTTCACGGCCTGTCACAGGGGGGATGTGCTTTGGCTCCATGTGGCCTTCACTCTGCTAGGACAGTCGCTGTCTGGGATAATTATTTGTCACCATGGCAGAGGGAAAAGAGGTCATGGTGAAGGTCACAGTGGCTCCATGTGGCCAGGGGATTGGGCAGTGGCAGTATTGTTGCCAGCGAGGTTTACCCAAGGTGTGATCATTGCTGATTGAAAACTTTTCCCACCACCCGACCATGATGACTTGAAATACAGTCAACATTGGCAAGTTTTTGACAGTCTTTATGGAAACTGAACTTTGTTGGTAAATAAAAGTTGAAAAAAAAAAAAAGACTCAGTGCAATGGCTCACATGTCTAATCCCAGCACTTTGGGAGGCTGAAATGGGAGGGTCACTTGAGCTCAGGAGTTTGAGACCAGCCTGGGCAACATAGCAAGACCTTGTCTCTACTAAAAAGAGAAATAAGAAAATTAGCCAGGTGTGGTGGTACACAACTGTAGTCCTAGCTACTCAGAAGGCTGAGGCAGGAGGATCACTTGAGTCTGGGAGGTTGAGGCTGCAGTGAGCTATGATCGTACCACTGCACTCCAGTCTGGGTGACAGAGTATGACTCTGTCTCCAAAAAAAAAACCTTCCACGAGAGTGATGCTTTCCATGTATTCACATTTCAGTGGCCAGAGCCTGTCACGTGCACATACCTGACATCAGCAGGGTGGGAAGGGTGGCAAATATTTGTGAGCACGGTCTGCCCAGCACACCCTGCAAGCTGGTGACGGGGAGCAGCAACAGTCTCAAGTGTTGGATCCTGAGGTCTGACCCCGAGGCCTGGTGGATTATAGGTGCGTGAGAACCAGACAGACCCCACTGCAAATTCAGCACCACTGCTGACTCTCTGGGACGTCAGGCAAATCACATGGCCTCTGTGAGCCTCAGTTTACTGTTCTACCAAGTGATTATCATGATAATTCCCATCTCACTGTGTTCTTGTGGGGCTTACATGAGATGATTCCGTGTTTCACCCTGAGGCCAGCACCTAGCACAAGTAATAATAATGTTAGCTATCATTATTCTTAACACTTACCTGTTCCTGGCTACTGTGTCTCCATGGCGGGCCTGACTAGGTGAGATTTTCAGGACAGATAATGGGAGGTATAGATAGTCTGCCAGCCGGGTAGAGAAGGCAAACAAACCCCTTGGTGTGTGTGGGAAGGGTTCCAGAACGGGGCAGACACAAGACCAATTGGGCAAAGGGAGAAAAGGCCAGTTTTCCCATCAGCCATTCTGATGAGCTCTGAATCACGAGCCCTTGTCTCTCAGTTGAGAAGGAGCAGGAGGTCAGGGAAACCTCAGCTGTGGATTCTTTCTTCGTCAGATATTGACCAAGCATCTGCAGTACGAGGTGCTTCTCAACAGAGAACCTCAGCCCTGCCTTCCTGAGCTGCAGAGTGCAGGGAGCAGGCAGCAGGCAGCACTCACCGGGCAGGCTAGGAGGGTGGGAGCAGGCATGGGGCATGCACCGAGGGGGGCCTGCCGCCGGGCTGGTCACAGAGCGTCCCTTGGCAAGCAGATACTTCTGCACACCGCCTGTGCGCCAGGCATGGGGTATCTGTGATGGAGACAGACTGCAACCCAGCCTGCATGGCCCTTCCTTCTGTCCAGAGGGGAAAACACACCAGGCGGGGATCACACTAGCGTGTTTACTTCTAACTGTAAGATGTGCCAGGAAGATGGGCTGGTTATTCTCCAATGGCCCTTTCAAATCCCTTCTCTTCACCTTCTCTTTTTGCATAGGAGGCTGCATATTACTTTATTACACCACCTTATCAGCTGGTGGTGGCTATGCCACCTCGATTCCTTGGTCTTGTGGCATTTGGGTGGGTCCAGCCAATGGGAGGCACCAGTAGGTGATGGGAGAGTGAGTGGAGAGAGCTCGGGAGTGTGTGTGACCCCATCCCCAGTGGTGCATGGCTCTGGTGGCAGCTGGGCTCCCTACCTAACTCCCTCCCTGCTCAGTGACTCCAGAATCCAGCCCCCTCCAGGGTGAGTAGCACCTTCCCTGTCTCTTGCGCTTCAGGCTCCTGTGTTTGCTGTCCATCACCAATTCCCGTAACTCTGCCCACACTTCTGTGAATTGTCCCTTCCCAAAGCCCTCCTCCAGGAATCTTTGCAGCGTGCCACTGTCTCCTGCCGGGGCACTGGCCCATGCAGGCAGGAAGTGCAGGGTGCTAAGGGAGGCAGAACCAGGGTCCTGACCTGTGTCAGGGGCAGTTTGCTTTCCCTGCTTTATGAGGGAAGTCCTCCCCAGCCTTCAAAGTCTCCTCTCCAGCATCACCTCCTCCAGGAAGCCCTCCTTGCCTCTCTAGCCAAGGTCAGATTAGGCTTGGCTTGCTCTGTCCTTCAGAGCACTGACCTCAGTTTGCACTTTCACATTCAGGCGTGTGATATCTAATCTGATTAGATATCACACTCCTGAATATCACACTCCTGAACTGAAGGTGCAAACTTTACCTGAAGCCTCAGAGACAGTCAGCAGCAGTGCAGAATTTGCACCTGGGTCTGTCCAGTTCCCACACACCTACAACCAACCACAGGGCCACGGGTCAGATCTCAGGATCCAGCACTTGAGGCTGTCCCTGCTCACCCTGTCACCAGCTTGCTGGATAGAGCCTGGGTCAGCTTTTGTTCACCACTGACTCTCCTGGGCCTGGCCAGAGTAGCTGTTCAAAAAGAAATTGTTGACTGGAAATAATGAGTATCAGAAAAGGCATTTCAAGAAATAAATACCACCCCACCCCACCCCCGTAATGTTATTATCAGCAAGAAAAATAATGCGGCTACTACAGTGAAATTAACTAAATGGCCTACCACCTGAGAATCTGTTGTTTACGGCCAGACAGGGCCTAGGGACATTACATTAGAGGCAAATTATTTTTCCTTTTTCTTTCATAGGTTTGCTCTGGAATTAGTCACAGAAAAGGGCCACACATTTGCTGAAGAGCTTCAGAAAGTGAGTAACACTGTCTCACTCCGAGCTGGGGATGTGATCCCTGGTGGCCCCCACTGGACTCAGCGGGGCTAATCACTCTCCCTCTGTGAGCTCCGTTTCTTCATCTGTAAAATGGGGACAGGCTGGGTATGGTGACTCACACCTGCAATCTCAGCCACTTGGGAGACTGAGGCAGGAAGGTCACTTGAGGCCAGAAGCCTGGGTAATGTAGTGAGACCCCCAACTCTTCATAAGATCTAAAAATTAGCCAGGCCTGGTGGTGGGTGCTGTAGCCTTAGCTGCTTGGGATGCTGAAGTAGGAAGATCGCTTGAGCCCAGGAGGTCAAGGTTGCAGTGAGCTGTGATCATGCCACTGCACTCCTGCCTGGGCAACAGATTGAGACCCTGTCTCAGGCCGAGCATGGTTCAGGCCTGTCATCCCAGCACTTTGGGAGGCCAAGGTGGGAAGATCACTTCAAGCCAGGAGTTCAAGACCAGCCTGGGCAACATAGGGAGACCCTGTTTCTACAAAGAAAATTTTAAAAATTCGCCAGCTGTGGTGGCATACACCTGTAGTCCCAGCTACTTCGAAGGCTAAGGTGGGAGAATTGCTTGAGTCTCAACAGGTTGAGGCTGCCATAAGCTATGATCACACCACTGCACTCTAGCCTAGGCAACAGTGGGATCCTGTCTAAAAAAAGAAGACTCTGTCTCCAAAACAAACAAACATTTGGAGACATAATCTTCCTTCACAGGCAGTGGTGGGGATGGTACTAAGTAAGGGAATTTAAAATGCAGCGATTCTCAACCCAGGGTGATTCTGCCCCTCAGGGTCCCCTGAGTAGTGTCTGGAGACATTTTTGGTTGCCACATCTGGGAGTGGGGGTGTTGCTGGCATCTAAATATCCTACAATGTACGGGACAGCCCCCGTCAACAAAGAATGCCCCGGCCATGAATGGCAGTAGCACCGAGGCTGAGGAAGCCGGTGTGAAGCGCCTTGGTCATGCCCGACGCACATGGAACCCAGGGAGGCCCAGCCGCAGTCAGCCCTCAGCCGGTGGGACTCCTGCTTCACAGTGTCACTGTTCTGTTCTCTGAGAGGGAGGGGGCCTGTGACCCACACAGAACTTAAAGCGCAGAGACTTGGTCGCCACCCTGAACACCTGGGGTGCTGCAGTTTCCGTCTCACACGGCCCCGGGTCCTCAGAAACCTCCCTGCAGAGTCAGCTCTTCCCACTTCAGTTCTGAAGCCCAGGCTGGAGCCCTCTCAGGTCCCTGGGAGCAGCTGGAGGGGAGTAGGTGGGGCTGCCAAGGCTGGGGCTGCAGGAGGATGGGAAGCCTCAGTGGCCAGAACGTTCTGTGTGGCGGCGGGAGAGACCGTGCATGCTGCATGCTTAGGGTCGCAGCTGCCACGTCACCTCCTCCAGGGCCTTCCCCGGCCACCTCACCTCCAGCTGGGTTACGAGTGCCCCTGGGTTTCCACCTCCTCTAACCGCAGGCATCACAAGGGGTGTTAACCTGTTAACCCGTCTGCCTCCCACCCAGCCTAGGCACGGTGAGGGCGGGGACTGTGTCTGGGTCACCTGGGGGCCCACCTGGCCCGGTAGCGCTTGTGGGGCCTGTGGATGAGGCCGGGCAGCATGCTGCTGCTCTCCCCACATCACCCATTTCACCCTCACACATGCCTGTGAGGTGGAAGTCAATGTTCACAGTTTCTAGGGAGCCAAACAGCCTCAGAGAGGCTGACTTGCTCAGCCCCCACAGCCAGGCATCAGTGGAGCTGGAATCTGATCCCCAAACTGGTGCCACTTCTCCCCAGGCCCCGGGGTACACGTTGCTGCTGGCCAACCAAGTGAGTATTGTCACTCCTGCTTTAACTGTGAAGGCACAGAGAGCCCAAGCAGGGAAGCAGCTTGCCCAAGGTCAGCTGGTCAGCAGTCCTGGGAAGGTTCCCGCCCAGTGCTGGATGGGCAGCCTCTGCTCTCACAGTTTGGCCTGCTTCCTGAATGCTGTCACAGTGGCCATCCTAGGAGAGGTCAGAGGTACAGACCTTCACCCTCCTGGAGCCCAGTATCCAGCTTGAGTGGACCCTGGCTGGGCACAAAGTCAGAGGTGGTACTTGTGGGTTTCACATGCACGGGAGCTGTTGGACCATTGTCCTGCAGGGGCCTGGTGTCCTTGCGGCAGACAGCAACAGACCACTTCGGTTCCAAGCAAACCCATCCCCACCAGGATGGAGCACAGGCCTCACCCAGCCAGGCGTCCTGCTCCCGGAACCCCTGCATGCCCCGCTGACTACATTCTCTAAGCTCTGGAGTGTCTAGAGCTTAGATACCACTGTCATAGTTGACGTCTTGGCCCAACTATTACAGGTTAGAAAACCAAAGCTGTCAAATGCTGAGGAAAGAAGAAAACCCCACAGGGCCTAGGTGCACAGGAGACGTGGGCAGAGCCGAGATGGTTCCTTTTGACCGTCCCTGGGCATGTGACTCAAGTCATCTGCTTAACCCAGCTGCTGCCCCCACGGAAGCCTTTTCCTCCTTCAGACTGCAAAAGAGCCACACCAGGTCCCCTCAACAGGGCTGGTTGTCCAACGAAGATGTTGTGCTGAAGTTTCAGACTTTGCCTTCAAATGTCAGCCAGTTCAAGGTCCGACAGCCTGTGTTAGTCCGTTCTTGCGCTGCCATAAAGAACTACCCGAGACCGGGTAATTTATAAAGAAAAGTTTAATCTGCACGCGGTTCTGCAGGCTCTATGGGCTTCTGCCTCTGGGGAGGCCTCAGGAAACCTGCAGTCATGGCAGGAGGCAAAGGGCAAACAGGCACATCCTCATGTGGCTGACAGGAGAGAGAGAGTGAAGGGGGAGGTGCTATACGCTTTCAAACAACCACATCTCACGAGAACTCTCTCACAGGACAGCAGTAGGGGGATGGTCCTAAACCATTCAAAAGCACCCCACTGATCCAGTCACCTCCCACAGGCCCCACCTCCAACACTGGGATCACAGTTTAACATGAGATTTGGGTGGGGACACAGAGCCTAACCGTATCACAGCCCTTCCCGAGGTAGCCGTCGTGGGCTTTGCCAGTGTGTTAGGTGGTACCTCTGCACATGAAACAGTGCCCTCTCTGTCCAGCCCATCCCGAATAGAACCTGATTGTCACCTTCTGTCGCTCCCCAGATCCAGTGCCTGTTGCAGGACGTCGGCTCTGCCCTGGCGACACCCCGCTCCTCGGCCCGGGAGGCTCACTTAAGTAATTCTTAAACTCCTGTGGGGTGTTCACAAGGCCCTAGGGTCAGGGGACTCTCCTAGGGGTAACAACCTGGGAGCCCAGGCCCCCAGGGGCCCACAGAGGGACCAGTCAGCTTTGCTTATAGGCCCTGGGAGGGAGGTACCTTCTGAACCAGCAGAAGCAGCCTGCGGGACACCAGGCAGAAGGTGGCGGGGCCAGTTCCCGCCATGGTCTGGTGGGTGATGGTCTCATGGCAGTTCCCTCTGCTCCTTGGCTCCTCAGAGTACACCACGTTTGAGGCGGGGCCCATCCTGGAGCTGGAGCAGTGGATCGACAAGTACACCAGCCAGCTCCCACCGCTCACGGCCTTCATCCTGCCGGTAGGTACTGGCGGGGCGGGACGGCTGCAGGCAGGTGTAGGGACAGACATACGTGGGCTCTGAATAAGTCCCTCTTTTCACAGTGGCAGACAGTGACCTCCAGTTCCCCCAGTTCCCTCCAGGTTCTCACTGGTCCCTCCCAGCCCTGCCTACTTTGGAGCAGGGTGCCCAGTGGGTGTGCCCTGGCAGGGCTCCTGGAGGCAGAAACACTGTGTGGTTTGGGGGGCAGGGCTGGACTTCAGAGGAGCTCCCATCTGCAGTGGGCACGCCTTCCCCACCCTGCTCAGGCAGCACCCCTTTCTCCTTTCAGTCAGGAGGCAAGATCAGCTCGGCGCTGCATTTCTGTCGGGCGGTGTGCCGCAGAGCTGAGAGACGGTAAGAGGGCCCGAGGGAGAGGGAGTGGGGAGAGGGAGGGGGCCTCTGCACAGCTGGGCCAGCTCGGAGCCATCTGGCCACACGTCGACAGACCTTGTCTGGGCCTCTCCACTGTGCCAGATGGGGACCAGGACAGACCAAGCCCCTGTGCTCTGAGCACCGTGTCGTGGAGTGGAGACAGTGGCGTATGAGCAAGTGGACTGTGACAACACAGTCGCACGTTGCTTGTAGGCTGTATTCTGGGAGCAACAGGAAGTTATTGCTGGGTTCTCAGCCATCTTGGGGACAGGGGTAGACATGAAAGGATCCTGCTGGCTGCTGGGTGCAGAGGGTCCCTGAAACGCCTGTATGGCTGTGTGGAGCCCAGGTGGACACTGTCAACAGACCAGCCACCATTCCCACAAAGCTACTGACAGGCTTTTCAAGGAATCTTTAGAAGAAAATGAGCAAAATCTCTACACCCCTCAGAGACCAGGCTGCGAGCCAGCTTTACAGAGAAGAGAAAGTGAGCCTGACTTTGCTCCCATGGACAGGCTGTGCCGGGTGCTTTGCACTCATCATTTCATTTAGTCCTTCTTGGTAGCCCTGGGAGAGAGGTGGTGGTGGCCTCTGCCTTACAGGGGTCAGGAAGTTGTGGCTCAGAGAAATGAGACCATGGCCACAGTCACGGAAGTGGCTGAGAGCAGAGTCCAGATTCCAGCCCAGGTCTGTTGGGCCAAGCCTGAGCTCTTCCCACAGTCCCACACCACAAAGGTTTTGTTCTTCATGAAAGGCTCTTGGGCCCAGATAGTTCCTAAGAGATCCCAGGGAACAGAGCAAGCTCTGGCTTCAGAAGGAAAGCACGTCATTTGTACAAAGCCATCCACATCAGCAGTGCTCATAACAGGAAGAAATTGAAAACCAGCCCAAGGCCCAGCAAAGAGGCATGGTGGGGCAGCTGGCGGGTCCTCCATGCAGAGAGGTGTAGCGGGGCAGCTGGCGGGTCCTCCATGCAGAGAGGCGTAGCGGGGCAGCTGGTGGGTCCTCCATGCAGCGGCTATGCAGCGACAAGATGCAGATTGTCACTGAGGTGGGGACGCACGCCTGGGGTACATCGGGTGAAGAAGCTCCTCACTGAGCACGTGGTGTCCACTAGAGACAGCCTGGAGCTCTGTGACAGGCTGGGCTGCACACCCTGCTGGGCCGCTGGCCGGTTGCATGGCTTTGGGTGGGGCTGAGAACCCTGAGGCCGAGCTTTGGGGAACTGGCCTGCCAACAAGGGATATGCCACAGGGTGATACCCGGGAACGGCTCAGCAAGGGACTGCCACGACACTGGTGCCCAGCAGATGGTCGTCCAGTGTCTGATGTATCTGCCCATAGGCTGGCATGGACCCCAGGAATCCAGAATCCTGTGGAATCAAGAGTTTGGTCTGCCTGGGTCTTTGTCTCCCCTGTGAAGCTGTTCTAAGTAATGACTTACAAGGGGCTTAGAGTTTACCATTGGGAATTAAGGGTCAGGCCCCCACTTTTTTTTGAAGGCAGAGGCTGACTATCCCAACTTCACCCCAGACCCAGGTCCAGTGACATGAAAGCCAGCTGGCTAGGGTGTGGTTTAGGCCAGGGGGGCTCCCTCGGCGCCCCTGCCATTCTCCAGCCCTCCTTGGCCAGGCCCTCCTGCAATATGCCCACGGGAAGGGGGCCAATGGCCTGGTCAAAATGTGACGGATTTGTCATCTCCAGTGCTGGCTGAGCCTGGGCAGGTTCAGGTTGAACAGTGATGGGTGTGAAATGCCACTCAAGGTTCAGGCCCCAGGTCAGAGCCTGTCAAGCCCCATAGTGTCACATGACTCAGTGTCTCCTTCCTTTCTAGTGTGGTGCCTCTTGTCCAGATGGGAGAGACTGATGCGAATGTGGCCAAGTTTTTAAACAGGTACTCGCATGGAGGCTGGGGGTCCCCTCTGAAAGCTGAGGCGCATCTGTGGGAGGTGGCAGGAGTGTGGCAGTCCAAGGAGCAGCATGGGGCTGTGTTCCCGCTCCCCCCTCATTCCCTTAGTGTTTATGAGCATCTGCTGTGTGCCAGGCACCACACCGGGCACGGGGGAGGCTGCGGTGAACAGGGTGGGCACTGTGCCTGTCCCAATAAGATTTAGATCTCGTTGGGAGAGGCTCCTATAAAAACCAGGAAGAAAAACGTTAAGTGCAAAGCGGCATTGCGGGGGCAAGGGGTGCTCTTGGAGGCTGGGTGCTCAGGCGTCAGAGATGATGGATGTATCACAGGGGGTTTCAACAGGCGTCTCGGTGGTGACGGACCAGGGAGCCAGGAGTCAGGCTCGCTATCAGCCGGTTTCCTCTCCACAAGAGGGCCTGGGGCAGCGTGAACCAAGAGAAGAGAGCCAGGCCACACTGAGCTCAGGGGCTCCAGTGCAGGCCCCAGTGAGCCAGGCTGGTCAGGAGGGCTTCCTGCCTCGCCCCTGGCCCCTGGGGCTGGAGCCACACCTGGCCCAATGTCTGCCCTGCTGGTTCCCACCTCAGCCCTGGTTCCTGTGGCACCAGTGTAGGCAAGGCCAGAGCCTGGGGGCAGTTAGAAAGCTGGGGGGAATGCAGGGAGTCAGGTCTGCACCCCGGGAGCTGTCCTGGGTGTCTAGAAAGTGACCTCACAGCTGGGGTCTGGCCCCTGACTGTGGCCACTCCTCCCACAGATATGGTCTGGCTTTGACGGGTCCTGAAAATCTCCTTCCCTTCCGGGAGGGGGTTTCCCCAGGAGTGAGGAGCGGGTCTGTTTCCCCTATCAAAGCAGCAACCCTGGGGGTACCGTTGCGGTCCCATAGTATTGCATAGGACAGGCCATTTCGTCTCCTCAGTAAGGCTTCACAGAGTAGGCAAGCAGTAGGCGCGCGCTGCCCTCCAGGAGCACAAGGCCCAGGGGATGGAAATATCCCAACCACGTCCCCTTTACTCTCCCTGAGAGCCGCCGTGGGGCCGGGGGCCAGGTCAGGGGAGGGATCGGGAGGATGTGGCTTGGAGCTGGCCTCCGAGGGCAGGACCGGGGCAGAGAGAGAGGGAAGAGCATGGTGCCAAGCACCGGGAGTGAAATAGCAAAAGGTGCGGGACCACAGGAGGCAGAAGAGCTGACAGCAAAAGTGTCTTGCGGGCCTGTAGTGTCTTGTCCTCTAGTTCCCTCCACTGCTGCCCCTGCAGAACGCGTCACACACAGATGCCCACTACTGTTGGTGCAAAGGAGGAGGTGGGAAAGGGGCTGCCTCTGGTCTCTGGAGTGCTCCAGCCTGTGCTTCTCAGCCGGTTCCTTTGGCGATGTTCGGAGGCATTATGGGTTGTCACAATGGGTGCAGGGGTGCTACTGGCACGTGGTGGGTAGACACCAAAGGTGCTGTCAGCATCCTACACTGCACATGATGCATAGGACAGACCCGAACACAGAGAATGATCCAGAATGTCGGTAGAGCCTAGTCCAGCAGCGTCAGCATCATCCAGGGCGGGAACTAGGCCTGCAGAGTCCTGGGCCTATCCCTTTTGAGTCAGAATCTGCACATCACCAAGACCCCCTAGTGATGCCTGTGCACACTCTAGTTTGGGAAACACCCAAACTGGTCACTCACATGAGCCCTGATCACTTGAAATAGCTCAGAGAGGGGTCCTGGCCCACAGGGTAGGGCCGGGGCAATGACCTCATCCTGCAGGAATGGCCCCAGCCTTGACACTAGAGTCCTTGGTGTTCACAGAAGCTGGCCTCATGTGCCATCTGTCAAGTGCAAGATGGCAGGGCCCACCATCCCCACACAATGTGCCCAGAGCACATCATTTCTATCCTCTCCTTGTAGGCAGCAGATACAGGAAGACCCAGTTAGTGTTGATCTCTCATTTCAAACCATTCTGTTTGCTTCTCTCTATCTGCCCCTCCAGACTCAGCGACTATCTCTTCACGCTAGCCAGATACGCAGCCATGAAGGAGGGCAATCAAGAGAAAATATACAAGAAAAATGACCCATCGGCTGAGTCTGAGGCACTCTGAAATCAAAAATGGAGAGCTTGGAGGACCCCTCCATGGTGACGGCCGTGGAGAAGGGAGCTTGCCCACCGGGGTCCTGGCTCCTGAAGAGCTCACCCAGAGTGGCTGAGAGCAGCCTTGTGTCCCGGCTCAGCTTTGCCCCACACCTCCTGCCACCTTCCCTTTGGGGATTCTGTCCCTGACTCTACTTCCGCAAGCTCTCCTGGGTCTTGGAGGGAAGTGGAAATGAACCGGCATTGGAAGAAAGACAGGTAAAGTGCTGCAATGAGAAGGAGCTGTGTGTGTGTGTGTGTGTGTGTGTGTGTGTGTGTGTGTGAGAGAGAGAGAGAGAGAGAGAGAGAGAGAGAGAGAGAGCCCTCCCACTGCCAGCTCAGGTTGTTCATGGATTTGGAATGGGACCAGAGGCCCTTGAAAATGTAATTGTGATTTACCTGTGCCAAAGGGGCTTTAAATGTCACATTTATAAACGGGAAGGCGGACAGCATTTGGAAGCTTGGTCACCTCTGAGCCACCCATCACCACCAAAGTGTGGGGGACGGACAGCTGCAGATTGGCAGGCGAGGCTCAGAAACTCCTGGCTTAGATTGAAGTGTGTGTGGCGGGGGTGCAGCTTAGGGGACCCCCTCTGAAAGGGATGGACTCTGGTGAGAACAGCACCACTGCTTAAAGGTGAACTTCCCCGTCTGCTTGGACTGAGTTGAGGGTCTGCAGTGCAGGGTCTTCAGCCTGAGAAAATGAGGTTGTCGGTTTCCGGCGAGGCTGACATCCACCAGACTGATTGCTCCGATGTTGCACTTGGCTGGCTTACGCCTCTGCGATCCGCGCCATGGCTGTATTTATTTCAGTTGTCACCATTGCTCCCTCCCGCTATGAAACGACACTGCCAGTGCCAGCAGTGTCCTTGGGAAAGGCGATATTTATGAAGGGCAGAGAGGCAGCCTCAAGAACCTAAAGCCTGCAGGCTGCTAATTGCAGGAAATGACTTCGGAAGGGCAGGCTCTTGTTGAGTGTCAGGGCTGAAATGCCTGGCGAACTCCATTCAGCGTCACAGATTGGCCGAGTGCCTGCTCATCCTTGGCCACCGAGCGGGGCTTGGGAAGGCTGGTCACTCCGGCCGTCTTTCTTGCCGGCAAGTCAGCAAACATTGCATTCTCAGTCATGGGCATATTTTTGCCTTTATTCTTACCACCTTGGCTGCAAAGTTTGCAGGAGGGCCAGGGACATTCGTGTCTTCTGGATCCTTTCATTGCTGACAGCCTGCGGTGGCCCTCTCGAGCCTTGGGCAGGGTGGGTGAAGTGTAGATGACCAGGAGTGTGTGAATGTCTTCCAGGATGGGGCTTTGTTCAGTGCCTTCCTGCCCCTGTGGTCACTACCAGGTCTCTTACGGAGTAGGTGCTCAGTATTTGCACACAGAACTGAAAACGGACTTTGGGAGGCCAAGGCAGGCAGATCACCTGAGGTCAGGAGTTTGAGACCAGCCTGGCCAACATGGCAAAACCCCAGCACTACTAAAAATACAAAAAAAAAAAAAAAAAAAAATAGCCCCGCATGGTGGCGGGTGCCTGTAATCCCAGCTACTCAGGAAGCTGAGGCAGGAGAATCACTTGAACCCAGGAAGCAGAGGCTGCAGTGAGCTAAAATCGAGACACTGCACTCCAGCCTGGGTGACAGAGTGACACTCTATCTCAAAAAAAAAAAAAAAAAAAGGGAAAGGCCTGAGTTTGCAGTCACTAAGGCTCAGTCAGGAAGCATGTTTAAAGAGCTCGCAGCGAACCACTCAATTCTGTCCACACCTCAGAATCTTCCTGGAATATATATTTAATAAAACACCAGCCCTGCCTGCCTAGCCATGGCAAAGCACAGCCTTCAAAGGATAAGAAAAGCTCTTTGAGTAAATGCAGCATCCTAAAGTGATGACCTTTGAAACCAGGCCATTTGCCTGCTGCCAAGTCCTGTCCTTCCAGGATCGGCTGTCACAGGCCAGATGTTAACAGTCGTGTTCTCAGACCCCCGCCTCTGCATCTGTCTCCCACTTCACCAGCAAACACGTCCCTGAGAAACCACCCAGGTGCAGGGCAGACGCCACCGCTCGGCAGGTGTTTCTCTCCCGTGCTATCAACCTGGGAAAGATGGAGAAAACCTGCTCTGGGAGCTGGGAGGATGGGGTGTTGGGAGCAGCTGCTTTTCTGCAGCGCCTTTCAAAAGCCCTATCAAGAGCCTGAGGCAAGAGGAAAGCTGCGTACCCTTTTGTACACTGAGCAAATATCCTCCCATATTTTGAACCGGGTGGGAAAAGTTAATAAAAGCCTGCAATCAAGAAACACGGCTGCGAAGCCCCGCTGCCCCGGCGTGTGCACATCATTGGCAGCCCTCAGAAACGATCAATCCCATTGCACGGGAACACGGGCTTTCGACTCAAACAGCGGCCTGTTTTTATGTAAAGTCGTGATCCCTTGCTTATCGTTGATTTTTTCATAATTTGATTTTGGAAGAATCAAATTATGATTGAGTCAAATTACGGAAAATATTGCATTCAAATATTATTCGATCACCAAGTTTGTGGGCACTCCCTTACATTTTGCCCCCATGAAAATGCCTCTCCCCACCCTCCTCCAGACCAGGCTCCCTGGAGTGGGGTGTTTAGTATCATTTCCATAGTGCTGGCAGTTGGCTATTCCATCAGAGAGAAGCTCACGGTAATGGTGACACCAGCCCGCATTGTGAAAGGGCTTGCTATGTGCAGTGCCCTGAGCCAAGCGTTCCACAGACACGATCTCATTTGAACCCCGTAGCAGCCCTGGAAGGAGGCATTAGATGTGGGTGGGGAACCGAGTTGTCCTGGGGAGTCGGTGCCAAGATGTGGGCCCAGGACGCGGCCTCGTGACTCCTGGCCCAGTGCTCCTTGGCTCCCACCCCACTGCTGCTTGACAGTCGTTTTAATCACTACCTGGGCTGCGGCAAACAATGCCAGGCTCCAATAGATCCTGCTGTCTCATTTCTCAACCTAGTTTCCCTTCACTGATATTTCATGGCTATCGTTAATGTGCATTTTTCACCGAGTAATTTCCACAGCCCGAACTTGTAACACATCCCAATGACAAACGTCTGGGGTTCCAAAGCCCCCATCAGTGGCAATGTCACCCTCGCTGCTGCCTTGACGCCTTCCGACAGCCCATTCAGTTTTATGATCACCCCCTCCCCGTGATCACTACTGAACCTTTAAGAATCCAGATGCATTTCAAGTTTAATTGAATAAAATTCTTTGTATAATAAATTCCGCATGAATGCTACATAAATCAGTGCCCGGAAGGGTTTGTGGCTCATCCCTCCCCTCTGGCGGGGCCTGGGAGTCGTCTGGCAATACTGACACAAGCTGGAATAAATGCATCTTTGCAGTCAGCCCAGCTAGGGGGGGTGGCACAGTTTTAACTTGCCTTGGCCTATTGCTTGTCTTCTCTGAGAGTCCTCCTGGAAGAGAGTGCTGAAGTCCAAGAGGCAGGGACAGGCAGGTTGCGGAGGCCTAGAAATTCTGGGGACGTCCCTCCTGTTCTCTCATTCCACAGAATCAGAAACTTCTCAAGCCGTGCTTTGTCACCTTTGGAATGCACACACATATATTCACGAATTTGCATCCAATCGTAGGAAGTCCATGGAACCTCCGGGCAGGAATCCCTGTTCTAAGAGAACCCGTGCAACCCTCTTCAGGAGCTAAGGCGGGATTCCCAAGTCCGCCGTCCGCAGCCTGTTTCAGGGTCAGATAGCCCCAGCCTGGAAATGTGAAAAGGAGCGCTTGGGGCTGGCTGGGAGAGGCTGCTGGGTGATCTCTGATGCTTGCAGGGTTGTGGGATGCAGGGAAGGATTGCGGAACAGCCAGCTTGGGTATTGGCCCCAGGCAGGCTCAGGTTCAAGGCCAGCTCTGTCACCGACCTTGGTGACTGGGCAAATCATTCCATCTCTTTTAGTCTTGCTCCTCCATCTATCTTAAAAGTAATATTGCCCCCTGCCAAATGTCAGCTCCTGTTGTTACAGTGGTTTGCTATTGTTATTATTATTTGAATTCAGATTCCAACTTTGCCACTTCCAGCATCTCTTTAAGCAAATGGTTTAACCACTCGAAGCCTCTTTATCTTTAATAACTGGGAATAATACCAACTTCCAAGAGTTCAGAAATAAGTCCACAGGCCCCACACATGATATAGCAGCTCTAAAAAATAGCAATTGTTGTTCAATCATATTTGACCCTTTTTAAAGCATGTGAAGCTGAAGATGGCCTGGCAGCACCTCTGGTCCCTCGGGCTTGCTGAGTGGGTCAAGGAGACAGGTGGCTTCCAGAGGTGACCAGGCACAGTCAGACCAGACCCGGGGACGTGGCTCCAGCAACACAGGTCCAAAGTGAAAGGCAGAGGGACTTGCAAGACAATGAGGGCTGAATGCAGCCTCAGACAGCATTGCCCCATTTTATAAATGAGGAAACTGAGGCCTGGAGAGGAGAACTTTTTTTTTTTTTGAGACAAGTCTCACCCTGTTGCCCAGGCTGGAGTGCAGTGGTGCAATCTCGACTCACTGCAACCTCCACCTCCTGGGTTCAAGCAATTCTCCTGCCTCAGCCTCCTGAGGAGCTAGGATTACAGACATGCATCACCATGTCTGGCTAATTTTTTTTGTATTTTTAGTAGAGATGGGGTTTTTCACCCTGTTGGCCAGGCTAGTCTCAAACTCTTGACCTCATGATCTGCCCGCCTTAGCCTCCCAAAGTGCTGAGATTACAGGCATGAGCCACTGTGGCCGGCTACCACCGGAGCTTTTTAAACCATCGCACTGTAGCTAACCTTGGAGAGCACCTTCCTTGCACGCTTGGCATATATTCCCGACAACAGCCCTGCAAATGGACATTAGTACCTTTGCGCGATAGACTCAGAAACCGAGGCGCAGGGACTCAGCACCTCGGAAGAGGTCAAACTTGTATTTGAAATTGGATCTGTCTCCAGCATGCTCCCTTGGCAGCAGCAGAGCCAAGACAAGGACCCTAGTCTTCAGGTTCCCCTGGGGTGGCTACCCTGGCACAGTTGGCAGCGAGGGTGTGACTGGCAATCAAGTAGGGCAGGGCTTTTTCTCAGGGGAAGCGAAGGGAGTACGAAAAACCTGGGAGGGGCTGGGTGCAGTGGCTCTTGCTTGTAATCCTAACACTTTGGGAGGCCAAGGCAGGAGGATCGCTTGAGGCCAGGAGTTTGAGATCAGCCTGGGCAACATAGACCCTGTTTCTTTTCTTTTCTTTCTTTTTTTTTTTTGAGACGGAGTTTCGCTCTTGTTACCCAGGCTGGAGTGCAGTGGCGCGATCTCGGCTCACCGCAGCCTCCGCCTCCTGGGTTCAGGCAATTCTCCTGCCTCAGCCTCCCGAGTAGCTGGGATTACAGGCACGCGCCACCATGCCCAGCTAATTTTTTGTATTTTTAGTAGAGACGGGGTTTCACCATGACCAGGATGGTCTCGATCTCTTGACCTCGTGATCCACCCGCCTTGGCCTCCCAAAGTGCTGGGATTACAGGCTTGAGCCGCCGCACCTGGCCCGAGACCCTGTTTCTTAAAAAAAAAAAAAAAAAAAAAAAAAGCCCAGGATTGATATATGCGCCTGTAGTCCCAGCTACTCAAGACTGAGGTGGGAGGATCACTTGAGCCCAGGAGTTCATAGCTGCAGTGAGCTATGAGCATGCCACTACACTCCAGCCTGGGCAATAAAGCAAGACCCTGTCTCAAAACAAACCCCTGGGAGGAACCTCGTTGCCACAGCTACAAGTGCCCTCTCCGAGGAAGGGTGAGTATTAAGTGCCAATTCAAAGTGGCACAGGAACCCTGGAGAATGGAATGCATAAGTGGCATGAAGGTGTCCAATGACTCAGGACCTGTGGTGGGGGCAAGGTGACCTCTTCCCCCTGCCCCTCACCACCGCAATGCCTCCCAGTGCAAGCTCCCAAGGCACCAGTCCTTCGGCCCTCACCACTGGCCATCTGCAGTGCCCATGGCCCTCCCCGGTCAGCAGGTGCCTTTATTTACAATCACCTTGGAAGGGTCGAGCAGACATATGTTGCTAAGGGTCGTTTATTCTTGTTTATAAAATTTATGGCTTCACCTCGATTACACACTGTCAAAACAGAAAGGATTGGGCCCAAAGTCTCTTGCCGCATGACTGCCTCAGACGTGCGTACATCTGTTAACTCTGTGGGAGCTGTAGCGGGAAATAAGCTTCACTATAACTCAAAAGCTCGCTATCCCGCTATGAGGTGTGAGCGGCAGGCCTTGAGAAAAGACGTCCAGGCGTGTACATGGGGAGGGCGGAGGTAGGGTCTGTGAGTGGCCATGCCAGGTGGCCTCAGGACCCTGCCCTGGCCCAGTCAGGGACTCTCTCAAGGTGCTTTGACTGGGGAGTGGAAGAGAAAGAACTCTATTTCTGTTGCCCTCAGGGGTCCAGCTGCAGGATCCCAGCAGCTGGAAAGAGTTCTGAGCCTATGGCTTTCCACCTGCCGACTT